AAGTTTGCCTTGAACGTTGACGGATCGCGGGGCATATTTCCACTTGCATCTCTAGCCTCCCACCTCCCACGCGCTCCGGTTTACCGTTTGCGATAGCGGATGTCCGTACCGCTACATGCTCTACTTTTCACGGTTTAGATGAATGGATCCATGTATGTCTCTCAGCTGACTCGTTTCATGTCCGTTCCACAACCAATTAAGAGCTGAGACTGCCCCTGAAACATTGACCGCCACGAACCGAACTTCAAGCCCGGACGCCACGGCGATAGGGCGGTCAGACGGGGATAGCATGAAGGTATCCTCAACATTTGGTTATCACCGCTTGCATGTATTACACTTCAACAAAGTGTGATTCCAGCAATCAGGGTCATGTACTGTACCTCGCCCCTCGCAACAACACCCAGGCTCAGTCTTCCACGTGGTTTGCAGGGGGACGCATACGATGCCTGTCAGCCTTGGAAATCGGTCATCTCCTTGCCCTCTGACTGGCCCATCAATTCGATACTCGTCGAGGGGCGACATGCGACGTTCGGTACGACGTCGTCTGATTGGGAGTCGTGATACCGGCACATTGAGACGTCTCACTGTTCAATGTTGACAGAAGGGGAGATATATGTTTCGACTGCGCGAGTTTGCGTGTGTTACAAGTTATTACCATCCCAAGATACCCATACGAAGGTAGATAGATACACGATCAGATCCGTCTCGCAATCATCGCATCACAATGACCCTCGAATTTGCTACAGTCTTGACTCTTGACTCTTGATGCCACGCCACGCCACGCAGGTGAGATTATGTAGCAACCATGACTCGTACACCACATCCGCCAACCTGCCAATCATCGAACACGGGCGGCTGCATCTTGGGGCACACGCCGCTACAGTATTCGGGCTTTGAAATTGCTGGACTATGTTTCCTTGAATCATGTTGTTTCATGCTCTGCAACGCTAGCGTCCAGCCGAGAAGAGGTGACAATTGCGGCAAGCCGAGCACACCCAACTTCTTCGTGTCGATAGTGATGGTGATGATGATGCTGACATTCCTGATTGTGGGGGAACATTACTCACCCTCTTCGTGAGGATTATCGCCTATCACTGACGGACGATGTTACGCACGGCATGCCGTCCTACACACCCACAGCGGCCTTATCGAGCACGCCAGATTAATAGATTATGCGGTTTATATTGACAAGATACGGTACGCTTCGCAAGTTCGCACCGGCAACCCTTGTTCGGCTGCAATGGGTGTCAAGATGTGTTACCAAGCACTGCCGCCTGGACGAGGGGACGAGCGGAGGTTTCTTTACGGCACAGGTCGGTGCTGTACAACTCTCTACCTGCCTCTGCGGCTCCTTCAATCCCATCATCATTGAACCGGGCTGACAGGTACCAGGCCAGTAAGCTCTTCGCCAACTCCTTCTTGACCAGCCCCTCACCTCCCCTCCACGATGGAGCTTGAAGTGGTGGGCAGAACCTCGATACTGCAGTGAGCAGCATTGGGGGCCCTTCACACGTTGTTCTCATGCATGCATACTGCAACACATCATGATGCCCTTCAGAAGCACACCAACACCATACCAAGTCACATTCGCATTCGTACACATGTGCCGGACCATACAGCACATAGCACATGGCCGCTGCGGACCCCAAACACATACCGCCTCTGATGTGTGTTATCACGATCTAATTAATAGCACCAGACAATGATGATGTTTTCACCACCACCCACCACCCACCGCCAACACAACCACGAGCGAGCGAGCGCGACGCTGGCGTTCCATCGCATTTCACAACGTGGCTGAGCTCGTGACAATAATAGGCTACCACGTCCTGTACCAAGAACCCCAGCCTGCCTACTCGCTACCTGGAAACTGGAAACTGATGCCTGGAGGAACGAACAACCCCCGTCGCCCGCTTACATCGGCAACGTCGGCGACCCGCTGTCTGCCGAGGGGATCCGACAGTATGGTATGCCAAGCATCTCGGTCTGCGCCTCGCACACACGTGTCAACTGGGGCAGGGAAGAAAGGTTGGAAGCGAGTTGGAGAGCAGGGCAGGGCAGGGCAGGATTCGGAGGGCGAAATGCACCACCATGCAGCCCGATAACCCGGGGTTTGCTTCTCGGAGGGGCGAAGGATCCGGCGGGCGTGCAGGAGCAACCCCGCGTGGCTCATCACCTAGCGAATGTCAGGATCCTACCCTCGCTGCTGATGGCTGCCACACCAGTCAGGGCAGCAACCAGGACGGACGATGGTCCCAGAATCGTGCGGCCAGGCGGCGTGCGTGGTGTGATATAGCTCTGAAAGGAGTCTAGACGATGAGTCAACACTTCTCATGGAACGCGAACACGCGAACACGCGAACAGGGCTTATAGCTACCTAGCGGGGTGATGGTAAGGATGCAGGGACGAACTTTCGGGATACCGCTCGCTGATACGCATATCTCATCATCGCGATGAACAAACAACCCGACCCGGCCGGCCGGTCGTGATGATGGAAGGACTTTTGACATTCCAGCCAGCCCTGTCCGGTCGTCAGCTGATAAGTGATGACCACCACAGTCTCTCGCATTGATGAGGCAGCACCCTCTATCAAACCCCGGAATCCAATAGTTGCTCAATAGGTTACTATGAACTGTGATATAACGACAATGCCTGCTCTTAGCCAGCTAAACCTGCTTTTCCGGCGTGTTCGGCGATTTTGGTAACGTCGACGGCGACGGCGGCATTAACAGCAACGATCGTATCAATCACCCCAGTCGTTTTCCACGTTGCCGGTTCCTTGCTTATGTCCGTCACCAGCAGAGGGCTGACGAGGCATTTCATCTGACGCCGGGCCTGCCTGCTTCCCTGTCTGCATACTATACATGTGCCGAGTATCACCCTCACCTCCCACCACCTATCTCCCACTTCCAGAGCCAAACCCGGAGCCTTGTCCGTCCAGTTAATCAACGGGTACACGAGCACAACGCCTCGCGCGCTAGCGGTGGATGGACGGATGGATGGACGTCTTCCACCCCCAATCCGGCACACGGAGAGCCGGAGTAAAAGCAGTAAGAGGGCACCGACGGTGTACAAGATGCGGCGGGCTTTGCTCTGGGTGGTCAGAACTGTAAACGCCGTTTTTAGGATTAGCAACCTTACACAGAGATACTGCTGCAGTTCCTGCTGTGCGACTGTGAGGAGGATTGGATGTACAGTACATTCGGTACATGCTGACATATTACATACGACGCCTCCATTGACCTACCTAGGTACTATGACCGACATTGCTATAGCTCACCTTGTTACACCATACACATGCTATAGCAGCGTGTTTACTGCATACAGTATATCCCGATCTGACTCGCAGCCTCGGAGCCCGCAAGGCCATGCGCGGCTGACACGCATCCGACTGCATCCGGCTTCGGGATAGGTAACCTGGGTCGTCGTCGGCATCTGATGGCCGGCGCTGCTGACGGGCGGCAGCACCTTCCCACCACTGGGTGAGAAATACGAAGATGTGCGAGGCTCCGGGCCTGGGGATTGTTCATCAGACGGACGAAAGACCAACCAGGGTTCAGATATCTGTCTGCTGTCAGCAAGGCCGCTTACACGAGGGCCATACCATATCCATAATAGTCAAAGACCGAGAGTCATGGCTGGCTGACTACTATACCAGGGCCGTTATACAACCACACACACACTGCGGCATCATTGTTCGGTGGACTGGCTGCTCAGCCAGCCTCCTGGGTGATAATGACGGGTTAGACTCCAGATTGGACATAGGAGAGTGTTGTGATATTACTGTATTGTCATGGTCGCAGCAATGACAATAACACCTTCGCGCCACATGATAAACTCCATGACGAAGCGATATAGCCAACCCCCTTCGCGTCCTAAATGCGCAGATTATCACCCCGTGAAAAGTCCTTCGCTTGCGTTCGTGTGCCTGCCTGCCTGTTTATCTGATTATGCAGACCTGCATGCACAACCGGTACCGATCCCCCGATCGTCAACGACCCCCGGCGCCCATGTGCTCACATGACATATCGTGTTCGTGTCGTATCGCTACAGGCCTACTAGACAGGCAACGCCTTGCGAGGCATGAACTTCGCCTTCTCTCGCACATAATACTGTGGCTTGCAGACTGCAGCACATAGAAGCAAACGAGCAAGTTAATAAAAACCTGGGGTAGTTGAGCTGGGGTAGCTAGCTGTTTCTGAAACAGATCGACCATGCAATGCAGCCTGGCTACCTGGACCTGGACCCGGCGGACGACTCCTAGAACTAAGAAAGCAAGGGGTCGAGGGCTGGGGTAGGGGGGTAGGCCAGCCACAAACACAGACAAACACACACAGCCAGCTGGACAGATGTGTGCATGTGTGGATGGCCAGAGGCTGCATCGCATCGTCAATGTGCGACACCAGCTCCCTGGGCGATGCGGGGGACCAGTATGCCCGCGCGCAGGGCAAACAGCCAGCGCTCTCGGGCCCGAGGATGCGGTCGTTGATGGGACTCGGGGTTCTCGAGACCACGAGCCCCGATTCAAGAGGGCGGATGGAAGCCGATGCTGGGATTGGGTATGTTGGCCTTGCAGTTCATGAGTTTGAGAGTGTTTGATGATGATGGGTTGGCACCTGCGTCTCGGGCTTGCATCTCGAGCGGGCATACCTTAGGTAGGGGATCATGTCACATGTCGCAGGTAGGTGCGGCGGGAAATGGCACTGGGACGCTGATTAGGTTCAGAGAGCGTCTACTTCTCACTTGAGAGAGACTGAGTCGTGATGATGGTTCGGATTCTCCGAGCCATATGCGGTAACGCGAACGAGAGGAAGCCAGCCGCACGGAAAGCTGTCCGAGTCCTCAGAGAGCCTCACCATTGCAGGCTCTGCGGGAAGTGCGTATGGCACAGAGCAAGTGTCACAAAGTCCGTCGAACTCATCAAGACAGTATGGAGTTGGGATGGAATCAAACCATCGTAGGTTCATTGACCTCCCCTTCATCCTACAGTACTTCTCCTATCAACATCTCACAACCCAATCATCCAGACTCTCATGCTTAATAATACTCGAGAAGCCCTCCTGCCCGCCCGCGCCACAATCGCTCTCCATCAACCCATCCCCAACCTCGTCCGTGTCCTCAACCTGGGTATACTCGACATGGAAGACCGGCTTGCCGGCGTCCACAAACGGCGCATAGAGCCCACACTCGTCGTACTCGACACACTGCTCAACAATAACCCACTGCGCGACGTCGACGACTTGCCCGACGATATCGCCCCCGTTCTTGAGCCCGAACGCCAGGCCCGCAGCGTGCGCGGCAGCGGCCAGGAACTGCACGTAGGCCACGGCATCGTCCTGCGTCAGGTCGAAGCCCGAGTCGTTGTCGTAGGCGTCGATGTTGTCGGCGTCGACGCCGGCGCAGCCCTTGTCGGCGGCGGCGATGATGCGCGAGACCATGAGGTCGCGCACGGGTGATGTTCGCACGTCGAGCCAGTGCTCGTCCGGCCAGCCGTCCAGCGCGTTGCCGATGGCCGAGGAGGGCAGGCTGACGGTGTCGGTGCGGTAAGACTCGGTGCTGCCGGCCGAGAAGTAGCACGCTATGGTGTGGCCGGCGGCCTGGAGCGCGGCGGTGGTCGAGTTTGACGTGTTCTCCAGGTCGGTGCTGTAGAACTTGGTCGAGGAGGCTGGGGCCGCGGACGAGGTGGTCAGGTCGAAGCCCAGGGGGTAGTCCCACGTTGTACCGACCGCGGGCTGGATGATGTCGCCAGTGGTGGCGTTTGTGTTTGTGTTTGCGTTTGAGGGTGCGGATTTCGACGCCCACACTCTATGCGGAAGGCCCAGGCCGAGACCGAGGCCCAGCGCGAGTGCGAGTGTGGCTACGACCATGATGGCGGCTACGAGGAGGATGAGTTTCTTGTTATGTCGAAGGCGCTGTCTCCATGATGGGGATGCCATTGTGGCTTCAGTGCTGACGGTTATATACGCCTGATCTCCCTTCTCACGAGTTTCATTCCCAGCAGTATCCTCTGGTCCTGTCATGGTCGTTGAAACAGTGACCAATATTGAAACATTGACCAAGACCTCGCAACCTTTATTTGAGGCAAGAAAAGCAAGATGTCCTCATCCTGAGAGGGATTCCGATCGTGGCCATTACCTAATTGTCGCCTCGAAGGATCACCAACCCGGGTTTTGAAGCTGGGGAGTTTGCGGGGCCAGTCTCATTCTTTTCTTTTCCAGCGCCTGCCTGGTGCAATGCCCAGCTGAGTTGGTGATTAACGAGATTACACTTGACCCTGTAAGGCTGTAGGAAGCGTCTAGACTATAGGCTAACAAGGGTTCAAATGAAAGCCTTGCTTGTTTAGACCAGACGTTCAGCTGCTTTGTGTCTCTCGGTTCCGAATGGACTTCAACAAGCTGAATCGTGGCCAAACTGCCAAGCAATAGCAACAGTATCTCGCCTAATAGTAAGGGAAGTTTGGGATCCTGCGTGACGACACGGACAACAGGAGGCAGCCCGGGAGGTTACAGCGCAGGATCAGCGGGCAGTTTGTTTGGCTGAGGTGCGCAGCAAATGAGAGCGCCTGGAAGTCTTCCCCAGACTCCAACTTGAACCTGGGGCTGTTGTACTCAGCCCCCGCCCCCCACACGCCGCATTGGGTGACCGCGCAGATCATCCATAGTGGATGGCAAAGCCCGCAACAGGGGGCGGACGTGCAAGACCTTCGTAACCGGTTGAGAACCCCTCAACATAACCTCTGAACCAGCCACCAACCTGACACGCCGTGCAGATTGGATCATGTGTTCGTATGTATTGTCAACGTCTCAAGGGGCATCTGCACCAGCTGGGACCTGGGTCGAGATGATAAAGTTCTCCATCATGGCTTGGCCACCCCCAGCCTTGGCTGCGCCGCTGCCGCTTCCTCCCGCACCGGCTGAGGCCATTCCGCTGCGTCCCGCCAGAAAGGGACCGACATCATGGCGCTTGACAACGAGGCACAGCACGCGCCCGTAAATAGAGAATCCCTCGTACGAGATGTCCATGGCGAGCTTCTTTTTGTCATCATCCTCGCCGGCACCTGCAGCGCCTTCCCTGCGGCGCTTCGCCGGTGGGGGCCTCATGCTCCCATCTTCAGGACTATGCACGAACAAGCCGTCGTCCTCATCGTCTTCACCCCCTGCGCCTGCCTGATCATCATCATCTGATATCACCTCGAGGGCACTATTCGGGTCGCCTGCAGCATGATCTGCGTCTGTTTCCGTATTCCTGCGTGCGCGCTTAGGCCGCCTGCTGCGGTTAGCCACCGTCTCATCTACGGCGGGGATGGCGGCCAGTGCAGCCGCCACATCTTCGTCGTCGCTCTCCTCTCGACGTATCGCTGCTGGCGCAGTGTCCACCACGGTATCCACGTCGATGGGTGCCTCGTTGGTCGCGCCCATGAGCCGGCCCGAGTTGGATGTCAGCTTTGTTTGCGTCGTATCGTGGAAGTGCTTGTGTTTCGTCAGGAGTGAGTGGCGCGTGCTGGTATCCGTGAGGAATATCGACACCTCGAAATCATCTGTGATGTGTAACATGGGGGCGTCAGTACTCCGTAGATCTTGTTGAGACTTTGGTCGCCAGGATTATGCAGAGGACCGCTCAGATGTACTGTACTTTGCGACCGGCAAAACGGGGATAGAGAGTGACTTCTTACCTTCGACCACGACATCTTTGATGCCTTTTTTCTTTGTGCTTTTCTTGCGGCTACGCTCACGCTCCTCTCGAAGCTTGGGCAATACGTAAGGTCGAACGCTGTCGATGACCCTCTGTAGGACAGGCTTCCTCGGGTTCAGCAGCCAAGTCTGCGCGAGTGCAGGGTTGTCGAGGTAGATGCGGCATTCTAGGACGGAATACTTGGTGATGCGAAGGTATCGGCGAATTGGCGCCATCGCGACGTCGGGCAGTGGTATATCATATCGCAGCCTTTAAGAGGTTGGCGGGCATGTGAAAGCGTTCGTGGACGTGAACCGAATGCTTCGCGACCGATCGTGGAATGCGACCAGAACACAGGCGCGCGATGACGATTATAATTGATTGATGACCGCCTCGTCCTGTGTGTGGCTGATGCACCCGAAACATGTGGCTCAAGCTTTGGAAGCCTTATCGATAAGCACGCCAGCTTCCATGTCGTGAACTTTTCCAGGATGAAGAAGTCAACAGCTTGATATAGGCGCAATACTCGAGGCTCGCAGCCATCACCATGATTTGGAAAATACCATGTCGAAATCATGGACGGCTAAGTTGAGGCTTCCCAAGTCGACGTTCCCGTACGTCTTTCCCACCATTGACCTTCCTACTAAAGCTGATCGCGCGCGTCCGCTTAGCCCGAGGCCTCTTCCTGCCTTTCGGGAAACGTACATACAACGATGCGCCGACAATCTATACGAGTGGCAGCGGAAGAATCGACCTTCCGATGACACTTTCGTTCTTCACGACGGCCCGCCATACGCCAATGGCAGCCTCCATGTTGGCCACGCCCTGAACAAGATTTTGAAAGACATGATCTTAAGGGTGAAGGTTCAGCAAGGTTAGCAGCTAGTCCGCCGAGGTTGCAGGCTCGAGTCGCTCATGCACCAAGAATTCTAGGTAGACGTGTACACTATGTGCCAGGCTGGGACTGCCACGGCCTGCCAATCGAGCTCAAGGCTCTCGAGAACTCCAAAGGCGCGAAGCTTACACCCCTCGAAATTCGAAAGTCCGCCCGAAACCTCGCCTCGAACACCGTCACCAAGCAGATGAAAGAATTCCGATCGTTTGGTGTAATGAGCGATTGGGAACAAAGATGGACTACAATGGACGCGGCATATGAGATGAGACAGCTACGGTTGTTCCAGAAGATGGTGAGGAAAGGCCTGATTTACCGCAAGTTCAAGCCCGTCTATTGGTCGCCGTCTTCTCAGACAGCGCTGGCGGAAGCCGAGCTCGAATACAAGGATGACCACACGTCCAATGCCGCCTGGGTCAGGTTTCCTATCACGGAAGAATGGCGGTCCCTTCCTCAATTTGAGGGGGTGCAGGGCAAAATCCAGGGGAAGCTGTATGCCATCATTTGGACTACAACACCCTGGACTCTGCCTGCAAACAGAGCCATAGCAGTGCATGATGACTTGGAGTACTGCGTTGTTAGCGACGGGACAGATGGCTTACTCGTAGCGAAAAGCCGTCTTGACACATTGAAGGAGAAACTGGCCAAGTCAACCGCTAGCCGTAACGCAACGGAACCAAGTGTTGACGTGTTGGAGACGTTTAAAGGCAGGCAATTGAGCGGTCTTCAGTACATCAACCGGTTACGAGGCAAGACCGCTTCACCCCAGCCACTGATCCACGCCGACTTTGTGTCGGCAGACTCGGGTTCAGGACTAGTCCATCTCGCACCAGGCCATGGGTTTGACGACTACGAGGTCTGCAACTCTCAGGGTATACCAGTGGCAGCACCAATAGACGACCAGGGCAAATTCACGAAGGATGCTTTTCCTGATGCGCCAGAAGTCTTACTCTCCGCTCCTTCGGTCAACGAAGGAGGTGGGCGAAACGTACTTGAGCTTCTTGAACCAGATGGTGACGTCTTGCTCGTGGAGAAATACCAACACAAGTACCCGTACGACTGGCGAACCAAGCAGCCAGTGGTCATCAGGGCTACCGAGCAGTGGTTCGCCGATGTTGCACATATCAAAGATGAAGCCCTCGAAGCTCTGAACAATATCCGCTTTGTACCCGAAGCCGGCAAGAAGCGACTTGAGAGCTTTGTTCAAGGTCGGAGTGAGTGGTGCATATCACGGCAACGTGCTTGGGGTGTTCCCATTCCAGCTCTATACGATGAGACCGGCGCAGCCATGGTAAATGAGGAAGTGGTCGACCACATTATCTCTGTCATCCAGGAACGTGGAACGCATGCATGGTGGTCGGATGCTGCAGATGACCCGTCATGGATACCGAGCTCGTTACAGGGCACATTCCGGCGAGGGACTGATACAATGGATGTCTGGTTCGACAGCGGCAGCAGCTGGACTATGATGCCAGGTCGTGCCGATGTGTACCTGGAAGGCTCTGATCAGCACCGTGGTTGGTTCCAATCTAGTCTACTCACGCGGATCGCAGCAGGATCCGAAGCCGGCTCGGATTTCGAGAAAGGAGCACCGTTCAAGCAACTCATCACCCACGGCTTCACGCTAGATCAGGATGGCAAGAAGATGTCCAAGTCAATTGGGAACATCATAGAGCCACAGCAGATCATGGAGGGCACCCTCTTGCCACCTCTGAAGCGGAAAGGGAAAGCTGCTAAAGGGCCGGTGACCTACGATGCCCTGGGTCCCGACGTCCTACGACTATGGGCTGCCAGCAGCGACTACACCCGTGACGTGGCCATTGGTGTGCCTGTTCTTCAAGGCCTCCATACTGCCTTGATCAAGTACCGCACGATCGTGAAGATGCTTCTGGGTTCAATGCACGAATCTGCTCGTACTGCGCCTTTGACCGTCACCGACGAGATCGCCATCATGCAGCTGCAGGACACCATGGCTGAAGTCGGCAAGGCATTTGAGAACCACGAGTTCTACAGAGGCTTCAATGCCCTAAACAGATGGATTACTAACGACCTCTCGGCTTTCTACCTAGAGACGCTGAAGGATCGGCTGTACTGTGGTGATGGCGGAGGTGTACTCGAACCCATCTTCAATGGCTTTCTGCGAATGCTCGCCCCGATGACCCCTCTACTGGTGGAAGAAGCCTGGGATCACCGTCCGGAATGGATAAAGCAAGACTCGTAAGTCACATCCACAGACGCGATCGCATGTTACGTCTAGCTAACCAGACACAGGTCCGCGGTTTATCCACTCCACCAGCTGTACACTGACCCAATTATCGATCCCAGTCGTCTCATCCACAACACCGACGATCTCCGCAATGATGTGCCAGCTCTGATGACCGTCCACGCAGCCATCAAGGCTGCCTTGGAGCGTGGCCGAGCTGCCAAGGACATCGGGTCGTCTTTGCAAAGCGCTGTAGAGATCCACACCGGCGACGGCTCAACCCAAGCCGTATTGAACAAGTACGCCGACGAGCTCCCAGGCATGTTCGTCGTCTCCGCGGTGCACGTCAACCACTCTCCCGACGTCCAGACGGAGTGGGCGTACCGCGAGGACTTTGACGTCAATGGTACCAAGGGGTACGTCGAGGTACGGTCTCCGGAGCAGGCCAAATGCCCGCGCTGCTGGCGCTATGTCGCGCCGGCCGAAGATGAGCTCTGTAAGAGGTGTGATGACGTTGTCGCTGCGCTGTAGATGTGCTGTGCTGTGTACGAGGATCTGTGTAATGATACTGCTCGTGTGAGGATTTAGACAGATGTGTATAACACGACGATACCCGTTTCCGCCACCCCACACGTCTCGTTATTGTTCACCCAGCCCCGTGAGCCTCCAGCCTATGCACCCTTCTTTCAACCAGGGGTTGTTGATCATGGTTGCCTTGCCGTGAAATATATGCGGCAATGGCTGACTGACTGACTGCGGTTCCGCACAAGGGTTAGTTAGTGCCGGTTAGTTAGTGCCGGTTGGTGAGGAAGGTCGACGAGGTTATCGCGAGGGGTGGTTGGTTCCCTGACAGAGGGACTCACTCGCGTGTGACGTTCCGATCATTCGGGAGACTCGGTACTTCTTCCATCAGCTAGCTACATCAAGGGCGACGCGAAACTGATGTACCAAAGACCAAAGAGAGAGAGAGAGAGGTCGCGCAGCCGAATCGAATAAAGGGGAGCCTCGTCGTCGGTGTCGGTGTGTGGACGGACCAACCTGGTCTGCAGAGGACGTGGTTGGTTGGTTGGTTTGTGGTTTGTGTGTGTATAAAAGGGATCAAGGCGTCGTCAGGGACTGATGGGGAGATGGGGAGATTGGGAGGTGGGAGGTAGGGATGTGGGATGTGGGAGTATTACTCGTCGTACACTTTGCTTTAGCCATATCAGGTACGCGATGGTGGGAGCTGTGCCTGAAATTATGGATGTTTGTAGGATTCGACGGAAGGCCACTTAAGAGATCACTGTAGCCGCGACTCTCTCGGGATACTCACTATCAACTCGACACAGCTTCCCTCGCTATGGCTCATACCTCTGATTACACCTCGCTTCCCACGAAGGATATAGGAACGGTAGTAAAGAACATGTTCCACCCGGCCTGTCCCAGTTGCCGCTGAGAGCGACCAACACGATTCCTCGACACGTAAATCGACCAGACCATCACGAAGACCAGAGCATAACCGACTCAGCAGAAAAGCAGGATACTTGTCTTCCCGCACCTAGTAAATTAGCACGTCAGTTAACCAGCCCAAGACCTCAAACAGGTACATCACGGACAGCATTTCCGCTTTCCCTAACTGCAGTGACCTCGGTCCCCAGTCGCTCTTCTCCGCAGATTGGAAACCCGCACCTAGAGACCTGACAGAGTAAAAAGGCTGGATGCAAGAACTCCACTGGTGATAGAAAGAGGGATACTTGACCCCGCAAGATGCTAGCGAGGAAGATCTAACCATGTATACCTTAGTCACCCTGCACAAGTCACCGTCCGGCATGTTGCATTCCAGTTCTGAACATTAATAAAATATCCATATTCATGGCATAAGCACCCTAGCATAAGCAGCTTGCGTCCGCAAGATAATCTTGGATGCTTTCTCCATAGTGCTTACCTTATCCATATATGATAACCAGGCAACTAAGAAGACGAGGTCCAGTCATGTACACACACGGACCAACATGTTCACAATCACGTCCACGAAGACAGTCAAGGTGCAAAGAAAGCTGCTCTCGCTCTATTAGACTCTGGGCGTGGGAGAGTGATGTGATATTACTATGTTGTCACGATCGCAGCAATAGCAGCTTCGCCGCCACATGATGAACTCTATGACGGAGCAATTTAGCCAGCACCCTGCGCGTCTCGAAATGCGCAGATTACCACCCCGTAAGCAAGCCCTTCTGTCTGGTTATATCGAGTCGTGCCAACAAGACTTGTCGAAAGTGGAAAGAGAAACGAAAGACGTGAAGTTGGGAATGAGCAATCTGAACTGAGCTCTAGATGACCTGAGAGATGTTAGTCCGGCTGTGGCTTGTGCGGAGGTGGGAATGGGGTTGGGTAGCTTACTTTTGCCTGGGAAGACACATGCGTAGAAAACCAATGACCAATTGCAAAGACCAAGGTGTGTTGCGAGTATGCTGCCGATCCAGAACGGGCCAAAGACCATATTCAGTGACCAAAAGTCACATGGCCGAGACGCGCCAAGTCGAGCAGTTTCCAAATTCGGCGACGGTTCCAAAGATGGATGAAGCCGTGAAGCTTGCCACCGGGGTGCACGAGCTGGGGCTGTGCCAGTCGACGGCACAGCAGCTCCCAGTCCCAATCCTCCTCGTCCCGACAGGCCAGGCGCTCGTGCTTAGCAACCTCCTCAGAGTCTAGATCCCAGAGCCAGGGGATCAGGCAGCCAGACATCAGACTGTCCTTCCACCATTTGTTCGGAAGCGCCCGCGTCGGCGTCAGACTCATTGGGTTGGCCCGGCTCTCGAAGGGCTCCATAGCCAAGAGGACCAGGTCGCATATCTCGACGGGTAAAGCTTGCGTTCTGGCCCATGCCTCGGCAGCGACCGGGTCTGGCTTTCTGCTCTTGCCGTCCATGGTTGACAGCTTGCTCAAGATAACCTTGGTGATTACGACCGGGTTGAAGATGGGGCAAGCCTCAAAACGCCGGAGTTGCCAGCTTTTCTGCCAGACTTCGGCGTATCCTACTAAATCCTTGAATTGTAGAGCAGGGGCACCGAGGTACCCGTCGTTGGGCTCCTTGATGGGCCGCCTCATGATGCCGCCATGTAGGCAGGTAGCGAGAGCACGATTACGCCAGATTTCATAGAAATGCGCCATGCTTGACGGCGCACCGCCGTCAGACGCCCGGAAGTTGAAGTTGAACTTGCCCTGGTAGTTGCAAAAGACACGGACGACGTCAAGGCAAGCCGTGTGAGCAGGAATGGCAATCTCCTGGTCGTCGGTGTTGATAGCAACCTTGCCTGGAAGCTCTCGGACAAAGAAGTGACGGGCGCTCCCATGGAACTCGGTGACATGCAGCTCCTGTAGCAGCTTGTCTCCAGCATTAAGTGACTGTCTGGACCTTGACGCTCTCTTGGACCACTCGTCGAATTCAGGCAAGGCCTTGACAAGGACAGCAGCGTGCATCCAGTCTTTTCGTACCCGACTCGAACCCCGGTCCGCCAGGGCTGAGGGGACCTGTGATAATGTTAACACGTGTGAGCTTAGGAATGTCTACAGGGTGGAGAACAATGCGCTTACCGTGGGCTTTATAAGGCCACCGCACACGACACACACGACAATCTTATTAGAGTCTGGAAAGTGCTGAGGCACCGGAGGCACCGCCGGAACCTGAACGGCTGCGAGATTGAAAGTGCTATTTAGCATCTGTGCTATCTGGGCTGCTAACGTGACGTTAGTGGCATTGGCCTGGTGGAAGGTGGCGGCCGGGTGAAAGGTGGCGGCCTGAGGAGCCAAGCCAGCTTGAGGGTTGACAGCCTGCTGAGCGGCAACCTGGTTTATAGCATACGCGTTCCAGGAGTTGACAGCCTGCTGAGGGTTGGCGGGACAAAGAGCCAAGCCACCTTGAGCGTTGGCAACTTGGTAAGGGTAAAGTGCATGCCATCCGTGTGATGACATCTTTGCGCGAGGTGAGGAGGTTGTTGTGTGAATGTAGAGGTTTCGGGAAGGAGGGTAGAGGGTGGAGAGACTGGCGCAGATGGGATGGATGTGATGTGGTGCGACGATGTGGTACGACGATGTACTGTGGTGATATGACGCGTCGATGCGGTGCAACACAACGCAACGCGATGGAAGTGCTCGAAGTCGGCGACTATGCGCTGCAGTGTATTGCAGATGTTGGCACCGGAGAAAGGTTGCTGGTTTGTAGAGAAAGGTCGATCTGGAATATGCGACGAAGTTAGTGATTGTGGATGGAGAGGGTGGGAGAGGGTGTGGTACGTTGCGGCGGGGAGATTTAAGGTATGGAGTTATGAGTGCAGGCGCAGGTGGGTGTTTTTGCAAGTAGGTAGGTACCTGAGGCTGGCACGGAACGCAGGTGACAGCGGACTTGGAGTGAATGGTAGGTGCACGCTGCGGTAGCACAACGAAATTCCCAGAGAGAGATCTGTGAATTTGGTTAGGGTTGGCGGTTGGCGCTATGTGCAGGTGGCGGCGCGCGAGGTGAAGATGGTTGACGCCAGGTGAGAGCCGGAGAGAAAGTGGGAGTTCAGCAGGGCCGTAGCGGTGCTCAAATTACCTCCCCAAACATAATAAGAGAAGGAGCAACTTACTGTGAGAATGGCACCGCCGGCACACAGCTGGCGGTATGGGTATGGTCCTTGTTGTCGTTGCGGTGCTTGAACGAGTGGCGATGGTGATGTTCAAGAGAAGGAGTTCAAGAGACGTGTTGTGCCAAAGTACTAAGTATGAACATGGAAGGCTCGCTCAAGTTGGCCCAATAGTTTAGGGTGGATTGGCGGCAGTGGCAGGAGCCTCGTATCGCAAAAGGAGGTCACCTAGGTTGCTGCGTCGGATTGGTTGCTACCTGCTCAAATATCAGCCTCTTGAAGTTGGGTTGAACCTTGAGCAAGTACCTTCGTACCGATATTCTTCTAGGTGAACAATAAAGTTTGACCGGTATCTGGCTAACATCTCCATGCCCCTTTCCTACAGTGCACTTCAGGGCACTCGTTGGGTGTGGTAGGTTAACACCTCCATGCCCCTTTTCTACAGTGCACTCCAGGGCATTCGTTCTGGTGTAGTAGGTAAGACCTTCAAGCCCCTTTTATCTGCTGTGCCCCCAGATCAAAGGCACACACATCCAGTCACCATAACAAGAACAGAGTATGCATTAGCCAAGACAACACCTTCACACTAGCTTCCAACACAAACCACAAGAACGGCAGGCGATGAAGGAACATACAAGTTCAAAAGTACCCGCAAGGAACCATACAATCCAAGGGGTATCTAGTATACTGGCTAGGCCTATGGGTACTCAAAGGCACGTGGAAACATGAATGCTCCAACAATATGTTCACAAACACAGTCCCTTGAAGGAAACTTGACGCGACTCCTTCGACTCCTTCCATGCTACAACCACTTGTCTTCCTCCAAGACAAAGCATAATTCCCACAACTACGCCACAAACACCTATGCTCGCCAACAGCTATCCCTCCATAAAATGTACTCTCAGTTGGAAATTCGTACTCTCAGTTGAGCCGTGGGCTTTTTCTCCTAGTGACGCTCTGAGAGAAGACCTCCCGCCCACCACCCGGGACGATCGATGACAGAAGCGGCATGTTCTCCCGCCCTTCGACACTCGCCGACTTCTTCTCCCCTTTGGGCCGCGAAGACCTGCTCTTCTTAAACAGCGGCATCGTATGATCTTCGACCACGTCCGCAGCAGCACCCATAAGACTCACAGGTCCGATACTAGCGCTGAACCCATGGATAGTGGCGTTGGCGCGTGGGTCAAAGTTAAACGAGCTTGAGCTGTTTATGTTCGGGTGCACCTCCCGAAGGCTCATAGACGTGGGAGGGCGGTCTCGGTCTGTGAGCGGGAAAGACTGCTCTGAGGCATATCGTCTGGAAGGTGAGCGGTTCACCGCAAGCGTTGGGTCTCTATCGACAAACACAGCGGCCTTGCTCGGTGACGGTTCCCCATCCAGTTTGACGATTAGCGCCTCATGTGATTCCGTACGTGGAAGCTCGGTGGGGTATTCATACGTCGTCTTCTGTGGTGTGTCGCCCGTGGGTCGGTATTCTTGTAGGACGGTACTGGAGATGTCTTCGCGGAGATCCGCGAGGGGCTGGCAGAGGTTTTCTGGCAATGGCTCCAATGCGTCCTGGGCAGTGCCAATATCTGTGTCCATCTCCGACCCAAGCCCTTCAACGCGGGAGCAGGTTGACTTGAAGTGATCCCCAATCTTGGCATAAGAGCCCTCGACCGTCTGAGAGAGGCTCCGAAGGGAACTCGAATGCTGATCGTGATGCTGTGCATTCTCGGATTGGGCACGAGTCACAAAATCGTCCAACGATGTTATCTGCTCATCGAGATCCATCATTTGCTCGTCGACAACACGTATTGTTTCTGCGTGGACCGACTTGGTGGTACCTTGTATCGAAGTGCTGTGTGTGTTCGTGGCCTGTAGCTCAATTAGTACCTGCACTAGTGCAAATATATGTCAGTCAACTTACATCCCAGTCATCCTTCATTTTGGTCTTGAGCGTTTCACGCGATTTGGCAACTTCGTCTAGGAGCTGGTCTTCCTGTTCGTTCCAGCTGTCCATGCCCTGCGAGTACTGGGCCACGCTGCCCTCGAATTCCATATTGTTCTCCCGGACGCTTTGCTGGATGGATGCCGCTTTGTCAGCTAGACGCGATTCTTGAACCTCGGCTTGAGTGTTGATGAGGTTCGTGATCTGGGCCAGCAAGTTTCGTCGGTCTTGAGCAGCTTGCCTTCGTTCTTCGTTGATGACTTCCTGCAGCCGAGTCGATACTAAAGCATTCGACTGGACAATCGTCTCACTGGCGCCTTCGAGCTGTTGCCTCAGATCGTCCGACTCTTTCTTCTGACAGGAGATGTGTTGTAGGAGTTCTTCGAAGATCGACCTAAACTCTCGGCCAAGAGAGGAGTAAGATGTATGAAGCTGGCTGTGGAAAGTGCTCAGTTCACTGAGAACGTCTTGGGAGATCCGCTCGGCTGCAGAGGCAATGGCCTGGAGACTATCGCCCACTCGCTCCTTTATGTTGTCCCGAACCTCCTTGATTTCGTCGAGCACCTCATCCATTTCGTCTTTCGATTTTTGCTTCTGCTCAACCAGCTCCTTCTTAGACTGAGCGAAGAGTTCAAGATTGTGGTCTAGGAATGATTGAGTCGACGAGAGCTTCTCCAGCTCCTCGTGTACAAAGGATTGCATCCGCTCTGAAATGCTCGAGATGTGGTGTTGTTGCTCACTGCGGAACTCCTCCACGCGACTCTCAACCAAAGACGTGACCTCCGAAACCTGGCCCTGGGCCATGCCCCAATTGCTTCTATTCAGGGATTGAAGATCAGACTTCCGCTTGTTCTTTGCGTGTAAGCCCCCTACGTGGCCGACGGTCTTGTGGAGAGTATTAATAAGCTCGCCGCCAACAGCGTGCATCTGTTCCTCGGTCTTCTGGTGTGCTTGCCGGATTCGTGTCTCCTCGGCGAGCGTTTTGCGAGTTGCCTCCAGCACGAGCTCGGTTTGATCGAGAACACCCTTTGTCTCGTCCAGCAACAACTTAGTCGCATCATGGTCCTTTCTCAATCCCATAAAACTCGAGGTCAGGGAGAACAGCTCCTGGACCTTGTTTCGCAGGTTGGACTCGAGTGTTTCGATCTTGGCAGCCTTCTCCTCATTCTGAATCCGACGCGACTCGCTCTCCACCGTCATTTCCTCGTAGCTTTCGTTTGACAAGTATACACCATTCCTCTGCCGCGTGGCGATAAGTTCGCTCTTGAGTCTTTCAATCTCATGCGTGAACTCCCGAAGCAGTGTCTTCTTGTTGATCAACTGGTTGATCTGGGGCTTGTTTCGGATGTTCTTGGCTCGGAAAGCGTAGTCGAGTGTCGAGATGGTCTCTTCCAGGTTGCTCTTTGCCGGAGAGATGGTTGCAATGATGCAGGTCTTGGTTCGACCTCCAAGGGAATCTTGTAGCAGGCGAGTGAGCTTCGACTCTCGGTAGGGGATATGTGAGCCGCGATCCACTAAAGCATTGATGACTCGACCCAGGGTGAGTAGACTCTTGTTGATCAGTCCGGCTTCTGCCGCACGCTTGTTCTCTGCGCCGGAACGCTGGATGTTCTCGCTTCCAGCCAAATCGACCAGGTTGAGCTTTCCGGCACTGACATAGTCTTCGCCATCCTCTCCGGTCCTCTTGATACATGCGGTAATCGTGAACACGGTATGACTCCGACTACTAAGGTCGTTGCACTTAGTAGCGGCCACCTGTCGTTTCAAGCTGCCATCTTGCAGCAGCTTGATGCCATCTGCCGCGTTCTTAATGTGAGACTCCTCCATGCCTTGGACGACGGTCGTGGCATGTCCTTTTCGGGTCGTGTCGTCGAATATCTTCAACTTGGCATTCTCCTCAGCAGAGTTCAGATCGCGTAGCTCCTCGTTGTACAGTTCGATGAAGGAGCACTTGACGAAGCTTTCCGTGTCCTCCATTTCCAACTTGTTGAATAGGTTATGCAGTACCCGGGGGATGATTCCGGCCGCATCGGACAACAGGCCAAGTGTATCGGTCATATCACCAGACATGGTGTATGTCTTTCCGGTGCCGGTCTGACCGTAGGCAAATATGGTACAATTATATCCCCCGAGCATCTATAGCAACGTTAGCTGAGCCCCCCCGCAGACATGTCTATTGCCTCATACCTCTTCAAGGATGGGTTTGACGACATCGTCGTATACCATGCTCTGGTCGGCGGCCTGCGAGAAGACGCGGTCGAAGTTGTACGTCTTATTGCTCACGGCATTGGGGCCCATGGACAACTCGACCAGCTTCCCCTTGACGGCTTCGGTGGAGACGACCACGGCACTGTTCTCGCGTACTTCGCGCTCGTTGCGTCCTCGACATCGGACCACTACGTTGATATTCGTCTCTTGGGTGGTTTCGATCTCGTAGTCGCGTTCCTTGCGCTTCGTAGCGGTCGTGTTCACGGACGACACGGACCCCGCGGGCGAGGACGCGGCGGTGCGGTCAATCCTGGAGGCGGAAGTAGAATGGCTGAGCGGGTGTCTGAGCGACGATGTTCTAGTCGTCGGGGGTCGAATGCCGGCGCGTCCTGCAGCACCAGACCTCACAGTCGGGGCGGTCGAGGACCTCTCGCCCCTCAGAGGGCGGCCGTGCATAGTGGGCGTAAGACCAATATAGAGCTAGACGGTATTGTGCAATGCTCGAGTACCAGATCTGCGTCACGGAGGCAACGAAGGAGGAAGAAGGGAGTGCAAGCGAAATTGGAGCTCAATAAACCATCAGTCCAACAGCAATGTCATATGCGAATGCGATGCGAATGCGCTGAAGTCCAAGATTTGACGATTGGGTGCATGGATGTATATTGTATGCGGTTAAAATGGATGCGGTCTGTGGGTGGAAGTGCAAGCCGGCGCCTTTTCCATGTGATGAAGTCTGTCGGTGATGCAGGAAGACGCGACAGGGCACGATGGAGCTGTTCGTCCCACTTTCGGCAGGAGCTCCGCTAAAAACGTCAACAGAAGGTGTGGCTGGTTGTCCCGACAACAATCCAGCTGACCCGCTACTGCTTGATAAGCCACATTAGGTAAGCATGCAGGGCTGCCCCTCCTACGGTCGGTCGCGGCAAGCAATCTTGGAAGTTCTACCCCACACCTGTCTCAGAGCCTCCCCTTGCAACGTGCAGCAAGCAGCGATTGGCACCTGCATCCGCGCACCTGCATGTGCCTGACATGGCCCCTCATCAAATGACGTTCCAGTGTCAGCCCCGCGGTCCGTCCAGATGACCCTTCTCAACGGAAGCTTCCCTTGATGACTACTTCCTTATCGTACATGTATGTAGCTCTGGTGCTGGTCAACTGACTGCCACAGAGATGAGTCAAGCTTCAATCATTGACTCTACCTCCTTACCTTCAACTTGCCAATACTAATGTTCTGTGACTCGTCAACCTGCTACCCCCAGGCTTCCTATCTTCATCAGTGACGAACTTATACGAATGCTAGGTCGCATCGTTCCCGACAGGCATAGCGACACCTCCAGAGTCACCTCGTGGATCCAGCTGCTGCGGATTGATCTCGAGATACCTAGCTTCTACTAGCACTGCGAACAAACGACCAGACGCAGCCCCATTAACCTCACCATGTCTCTCTTCTCCGCGGCTCTACATCCGAACGTCGGTCTGGGGTTCATAAGTACGGCTCCATACCACAGGCCGCCTGTGCTATTACGACCGAGCTGACTGACCCTGTGGCCTGTAGTACTCGGCGCATCGCTTCACGACATCCTAACAAGACTGAAAGCCGAGCCGCAACGCTTCCCGAAACTCGACCTCGGCTTCACCCCGAGCGAGCCCGTTACGGAGCCGGTGGTCCTCACTCTTCCCGCCAACGGTATACGGTTGCGCTTCGACGGCCCGGAGCAGCGCCTACGACTCATCGAGATCATCGACTTCACCAAGAATCGTATCACCTATCAGGACAAGGATATTGCGAAACCATCAAGCTCTCAGGGGGTGTTGGGTTCGCCTAGACCTGGAGGGGAGACTGCCACCGGGCCAGCTTTTAAGAATGTCTATCACCGGTTGTTTGGTCCTACTTACGCTGGAGAGTACATGCCCGCCGACGATGACAAGAGTAATAGTGTAGGCACATACGTATTGTCCTACCCCGGAGTCGCCTTCAACTTTCCCTTGCCGGCATTGGCATACTCGCCGGACAAGGACGTTGTGTCGTTGCTGTCGTCGTCAGCAAGTCAGACCGCCAGCTCTATGGCTATCTTCAGCGGGAAGTCCTGGCAGCACGCACGAGAACACTTGTGGGATGAGCTTCTGCCAAGTGTCAATTCAGCGTTTCTCTTTAGTAAGAGCAAAGAGATGGTCCCCGATGAGATATCTCTGGTCAAAATACACGGAGGTGGTCGATTGCAGTTGTTCAAGAAGTGGACCAGCGCGTCCATGTGGATCAACCTCGGAGAGACAACACCGCAAGATCTAGTAGCAGAACTGGGTCCTCCAGATGCGATATACCGGAAGAACGACCAGAGAATGCATATACACAAGACCCGGACTGCCAGCCACAGCAGGTCAAGGTCCGACGGCCGCGACTACAAACGTCCGGACGATCTCACCGACACCGACCAATCCTCGGCGCACACTGGGTCGGATGATTCGGACGACGAGGCCATCGAGGACGAGGCCGCTAGTAACGTCTCGGGGGAGTGCTTCTACAACTATTTCTATTTGGGATTTGATGTCCTGGTATCGCCGCCGCAAACGCCTTCGCCAACACCTCCAGGGCAGGCTAAGTTGACTGGCGAAAATGACGGAGGAAATCCATTCAAGAACAGTAACGCAGACCGTCTGGTAGCGACAAAAGTGGTTCTACATGCGAATGTCCCTGGCTCGTATCCTTTCAATCGACATCGCCGATGCCGCTGGGAGATTGCCTACCTCGACCATCCTGGTTCCGAGTTTGCAGTCGACTCTGAGACTCCCTTCAATGAGATGGAGGAGCGCCTACGGGAAGAATGGAAGAGCACATATACATCAGAGGATGATGCCAAGCGGCGACAACGTGGAATGGTCCTCAACCGAGGGTGGGGTGATAGTCCTGGCAGCAGTTGCGAATTCCTTGGTGGCTGGGAGGATAGCACTGGCGGTATGGCCGCGAAGAAGTTCGACGGGAACGAAGACTCCACTACTACATTGTATGGATTCCCTGGCTTAGTGTTCGAGGTCTTGAAGAACGGCTTTGTCAGCGCGGTTACAGTGTTTTGATTTTAGGGACAGGGAATGGAGTCCTGGCTGTGCTATTCCATCGGGATCGTGGGATAAGTTTGAGGGGAAGGTAATGGAGTCCTGGCTGGGCGGCGTCGGGACCGTGGGATAAAGATTAAGGGATTAGAGCATTTGCATGCTGCATTCGTACTGCAGCTAAGTCTAGTATTCAATCAAGACAAGACTTGAAAAGCAGCCTTTGGACCTTCACACAGACAACCAATATTGCGTGACAATCTTTTCGCTTTGTGGGTTTATCTAGCACCGCGCACCGCCAACACCAAAGCATTGTCCGTCAATCAACCTACAAGAACGCCTCAAACATCTTCGCCGCATCCAGAACCATCTTATCGTACGGGATCCAAGACTGACCCGTTGCAGCAACAGCCTTATCCGATACGATCTTGGGCACATTAGGGGGAGACGCCCAGCGGGGCTCGTACCCCTGTCCGGGCGTCCCCTTTTTGATCACATCGCGGCGGTCCGGGTACGCCTCGCGTAGGACATCAGCCGCAGCCTGCGGGACGCCGAAGTTGCCGTTGCCACCGGCAATGTACCGCTGTCCGTCGACGATATCTGGGTGCTCAGCCGCGAATACGCTCAATCTCGCAACGTCTCGGACGTCGACGTGCGTGCCGTAGCCCGGCGGGCCCGGCGGGTACTCCTGGCCCGAGAGGACCTGCCAGATGAACTGGTTCGTCCCGTGAATCTGGTCTGCGGAGAGCGGGAGGTAGAGGGGCGGGCCGGCGACCCAGCTGTTTGGTACATCAGTTTTTCCCCCTTTGCAACTCTCGAGATGATTGATAGTGGAGGTGAGTAGGTATGGGCAGAGGAGATGGCACTTACACAGGATTCACAGCCGAAGTCGCAAAGGCGGGTTTCTTCTCCGCAACCCACTTCCACAGCGCGCGCTCCGACGCGATCTTGCTCGCCACATAGACGTTCATCCCGCGCGCCTCGGCGGCGCCCTGCTGGCTCATCGCCTCCTCGACCTCGGTGTTCCAGTCCGCCTCCGTGACGACGCCGTCTGATCCGCTGAACCCGACCGCTACGATGCTGGACATGAGCACGAAACTTTTCAGCAACCCCTTGGACTCGGAGGACTCGGAGGACGCCCGCAGCGCCGACTCCAGCGCCCCTAGGGTGCCACCCACCGCCGTCCCCAGCACGTAGTCCGGGTCGTCGCTGTCGAGCACCACGGGCGAGGCGAGGTGCGCGACGGCGGTCACGCCCCGCATGGCGGCGTCGAAGGCGTTGGGGGTGGTGATGTCCGGCACGCTGACGAGCTCGAGGCGGCCGGAGGCGATGTAGGAAGCTAGGTGCGCGGCTAGCGCCGCCGAGGTGCTGCTGGAGAGGTCGCGGACTGTGCCGCGGACTGACCAGCCGGCGGAGAGGAAGGCGCCGACAGTGCGGGCGCCTATGTAGCCGTTGGCGCCGGTTACGAGGGCGAGACGGGGAGTGGGGGTGGACATGGTGGGCGGTATTCTTTTTTGGGTTCTTGGGGCTTGGAAAAAGGGCGATGGTTAGGATGATGATGGACTTGGAGAGCTGTTGGCTGTTTCTTGCGCGGTACTCTGGTGCGTGGAGTGGTAGAGATGTAAGGTGCTTGTGGGTTTCACGGGAGATCATGGCAAGTCCTCGGTCTGGTCTCGGGTTATATACATTTCGCAATTCTTGCTACGCCTCTTCATCGTTGCTTGCATTGCCAATGAGATCCAGTGCCTGCTATGTGGCCTTTCATCACGCCTTCGATTATCCGCCTGTGGCATGCTTTATTTGATTATCAACTGCATGTGTGCTACGCCGCCTCTATTCCCCCGTTTGGCGGTCTGGGACAGGTAATCAAAATATCCAAATATCGACTGTGCCGTGCCTCGGCAGAATGAAGATAGCTGGATTATAGCAATTGATGTATAGTGATCACTATGTCGTGATCACCGGACTTTACGCGGCTTTTAGTAATCAGTAAATAGGGGGTTTCGCAAACAACAGCTTTCCCCACTTAACTCCGGCTGGTGATTAGTAACGTAGATTTAAGACCGCGACTTCGGGTTTAAAGGCCTGGTGAGCTTTAAAACGGAGCTGAAGTTGAATGGGTAGAAACTTGCAAGGGCCGAACACACTCTGTGCTGGCCTCCTGTCTGCTTAGCCGGAGACGCGGATAAGGCACTGGTCTACTACGGCCTATGTGACTGTTGACTGAGTGAATGAAGTACGCGGTAGTGACTACAGTACACGATAGTAATTTCCAATTGAAAATCGAACAGGAAAGACAAGCTTAAACTACACTCACTATCCATGAATAAGAATTGCTTCCATAACCTCTACTCCAACCCATACTCCCCATACAAAGAAACGCCGCTCTGTATCGTCAACGTAGCATTAGCTCTCAAATCCCGACTACTAGCAGCGACATGGAACACATAGTCCCCACTCTCCATCTTCCAGTTCTGCGCCGCCGTATCCCAGACGCTCAGATCGCGCCTCCTGAGCTCGAACGTCACCGTGGCCGTCTTGTAGGGCTCGAGAACGACCTTCTCGAAGCCGCGCAGCTGGCGCGCGGGCTCGCCGGCCGCGTCAGGAAACGAGAGGTACAGCTGCGCGACCTCGGCGCCGGCCACGCCGCCCGTGTTCATGACGGTCGTGGTCACGGTCGCGACAATGTCCCAGAGGTCCTCTCGCCCGCGGACGGCCCGCGCGCCCGTGGAGTACCCGCCCATCGTGCGCTTGTTGCCGCCGCTGCTGAGCTGCGCCGTGACGCGGCTGCCGTACTCAAAGGTCGTGTAGGACAAGCCGTAGCCGAACGCGTAGCGTGGCTCGATGGCCTGCTGGTCGAAGTACTTGTAGTCGATGTAGTTGCCCTCGGAAAAGTCGAGCTCGAGGTTGTCCTCCTGCACCCGCGTGTTGGCGTCGTAGTCGGACTCGTTCTTAGCGATGGTATGGACGAGCCGGCCGGACGGGTTGACGGCGCCGAAGAGGACGTCGTCGAGCGCGTTGCCGGACTCCTGACCGAGCGCGCCGCCGTAGAGCACGCCGGTCACGTTGTCGTGCTCGATCCAGGCGTCGACGAGGCGTGGGCCGACGGTGTTGATCACCACGATGGTGTTGTTGCAGTTGTCGGCGACGGTGTTCACGAGCCTGGAAGTGGTCAGTTGGTCAGCTTGCTTGTCATCAGACCCTCGTCAGGTGGTCCGTTTACTTACGCATCCGTGGTACCGTTGGTAAGCTCGGAGCGGTCACCACCTTCTCCGGCCCAAGCGTTCAAAAATACGACGCAGGCATCTGAGTTCGCGGTAACTCCAACAGTGCTCTCCTTGAGCTCAGTACCGCTGCCAGCTACGCCACCAGAGGACGACGTGGTGGACGTGTCGTTGAGCCACCATCGGAGCTGGAAGCCATCCTTGGCCGCTCTCTCATTGAAGAGCTGGATCGGGGTTGTCAAGTAGGCGAGAGATCCCATGCCGCTTCCTCCGACGACGGCCATGTCTTTGAGCTACGTCAGTGATGTGTACTTGCCCACCAAGGTAGCAATCTGTACTTACGGCCTTGCATGGTGGGCCCGACACCACCGTAGACATCGAGCTCCGTGTTGGGACCGAAGTAACGGGGTGCTGCATGCGAACCAAAAATGCTGATGGAGCGCTTCGACTTCAGAGGCAGCGCGCTGTTCTTGTTCGTCAACAGAACGACGGAGCTGGCCGCGCAGGTTCGGGCAAGCTCGGCGTGGTTCCTTCGCACCTCGACGTAGTCGGTGTTGCTAGCATAGTCAGGGTATCCCTGGTCCTGGTTCAAGTGGAAGTACCCCATCATGTTTCTGATGGCCATATCGTCCAGCCTGGCTGTGGTAACACTTCCATTGTTCACGGCAACGCCAAGGGTTGAGTTGGACCAAGTGTTTTGAGAGGAGTAGTCCATGCCAGCGTTAGCAGAGTTGATTGCAGTCCTCTGGCCACTGATATCGGCGTGGACGATGCCGGGGAAGCCAAGTTCAACCTTCAGGTACTTGGCGAGCAGGTCCTGACTTTCGCAGGAGTACAAACCGTTTACTCGGTTCATGGCGCACCTAGTCAGATGTCAGTGGTTGGTCTTTGAAGCATTTTTCCTGTGACCGGACTTACATCGCTCCACCCATGCCGTTCTTGACAGTGTCGTAGAAGGGTGCGAGGTATGTTTCATGGTAAGCCTTGTCGTCGATGTGCACAGTGTATGCATCGGATGAGCTGCTTGTGGAATTGTCCAATACGGTGCCGTTCGTGGCCTGACGCCTGCGCTTGTTCGGGGGTGCGCCACCAGGTCCGCCGCCGCCGCCTCCCATACTTGTCGTGCCCTCTCGGTTCGTCTCATATTCGTTCATGATGAAGTGCTTGGTGCTGGGAATGACACCGGCATCCGAGATACCCTACAGAAAGAGACGGTTAGCTGTCGGCAGTTGCCAGATGACTTTCGTGGCGTCAAGGTCTTCCAGGCCATACGTACTTTTACAAATCTTCCTCGCATCGCACTGCATTATTATGAGTAAAGGAACTGACTTCCTGGCTGGATGGGTGTGTGCATACCCTGCGAAGTAAGAATCCGGACCATATGTCTCGCCTTGTCGACCACCCCAGGCCGAACGTCCCAGTGGCTCCAAAGTAGGTGCATAGGCGAGGTTGATGCCCTTGCCACGGAACTCGGAACCGAGCGCCTTCGCCTGTTTGTGAATAGCATCATTGTCCCAGGTCATTACCATAGCCAGACCGGCAGGCCAGTTCGTGACATAGTAGTAGCCGAGGGGGTTCGAGGACGAGTCCAGCATATGCAGACCGGTGAAGTTGCCGACTTCTCCTCCAACAACGAGAGACAGCTTGTCGGAAGTCGACAAGGTTTTCACAAAGGCCGATGCCTTGTCGTAGGCATCCTGCCAGTCTCCAAGCTTGACTAGATCATGTCAGTAGCTGTCTTACGGACGCCTGTCACTCGGACGTGTTCTTGGCGAGACTGACTAGTTCCTGAGCTTAGTAGCTGAGCCGTGTAGTTGTTGGACGCATCAGCGGAAGCGAGGCTCCCAAGGGAGAGCAAGGCGAGCAGCGATGCTGACACTTGCTTCATGATGATGTTGAATGAACGTTGCAGAAGAGAAAGGGACCGTGGCGGACAGTTTAGTTTAGTTTAGTTTATTTAACGCCGTAGGGGCTCTAGGCTCCAGATCCTTGTGGACGTTTGGGGTGCAGGTGACTATCTCAGGGGCTAATATACAAGCCTTACTGTACGGGAAGCAGGGCATGACTCCCTATTTCCCACGATAACCTGCAAATCGAACCTCGAGGGCACACATGTTATTCCGTCAGTTTCCGTTGGCCCCGCCATTTGGGCTCGTGCTCTGTGATATCTGGTTCGTAGTCGGTAGTCCGAATAGCGTCGAGGAGCTCCTCTCGTTTTGACAGGTAGTGCCTTGCGTCTAAAAGGCTATAAGCTAAAAGAAAATGAAAACATAAGGAAATATAGTGAAAGTAATAAAGAGATGTGGTAACAGGCGCAGTTACACCTAGTGGTCGATGAATTGATGTTCTGTAACCCTGGGACAGACTTTCGTGTAGAATTCTGTCCACTTGCAGAAGTCTCCGAATTCCTTCGGGTGCGTGTGGCGGACAGTACTAAGTAGTGATATCCGTAAAACGAATGCAAAGTCAGTCCGGAAGACGACACCGTGCATCAACGAGCTTACCAGCGAGCGAAGACATGATATAAGAACGGTCTCGGGCTGCACCCACAACGTCGGAGGATGGCGAATATTGTGGCCGCCTGCGGCTGGCTTACGACTGCAGTTCCATTCCCGGCACGGGTCTGTAGCAAATAGATCCTGGCAGAGTCAAGAACGGCCCGAACGAGAGGATACGCAAAGAGGATCGATCCATCGCCCGGGTATGCAATCTATAAGTGCTTGAACGGTGAGGCGGAAATGGTACGAAGCCAAGGACCAAGGTATCACGATGTCGAGGTGGGGGCTGAGGACGCGTCGCCTTCATCTCGGCCAAGGCCCACGACTCCACACGACGATGAAAGGAACGCTGGCTCCAAGCATGACGTGTACCCACGAGTGATGCGAGTAATACCGGTTTATAAAATTGAAGGGCGCCAATAATGGGCGTTTCTTGCGATGCTTGAACGAATGAATGAAACGCGTTGCATGTTGGAAGACGACCGGATTCGTAGGCTTGACGGGTAGGTAGTTAACACTTCAACTTGACAGGTCAAAGGAATGAGAGACTGGATGTCATCGTGGGTGTTTGACTAAAAGATCCACCATTTATTTTAGGCTCTGATGACATAATCCCTGGTTGCGACTGCCGACCGGGACGGGATGACGAAAAACGGCCCCCAACGTCACTACCGCAAGCCGGGAGCCCACGATAACGGGACCCGCTCTAAAGGCTTGTTTCTTCGACGCCACACTCCGGACGTACCTACCTGACCAGCTGCCCCTACCACTTGATCCGGGGATTCAGGGGTCGGTCGACTTCAAGGCCACACGCCACCCACATAGCGGTGAATATTTGAAGTGAATGTATCGGTTGGACGATCTCACTCGGGAATGAACCAAGAGCGAGCATTACCATCATGCGACCATGTGTTCGTTCATATGCCTATGTATTCACAGCTGAAACCAATAGCCTCCTTTTCTTGGGGGCCAGATGCTGCCATGGGTCACCGCGATGGCGCTTCACCGCTCACCAACAAACCATTCAATGCATTGATTTCATTCAATGTAGTATTATGATGCTGCATCTCGACCACATGAAGCATCATGACCCACCAAGCTCGACGATGAAGGCTTTGGTGATGACCGTTCATGCCGCCCCCAATTGTCTATAAGACCACCTTGGGCGACGATGATTCTTGACCTTTTCCCAGCACAACACATCAAACCACCAAACCACCAAACCACCAAACCACCAAACCACCAGACCATCAAGTCTTCACACAATCGCATTGTGAACGAAATCACCAGCCAACTCAAGGCCAAAATGCCCGCACGAAGCCAACCTTCACAAACAATTTGAGTCTTTCACCATGACTGAAGCCCCCAAAGACCAAGGTCAGTTGGTGGTGACTTCCAAAATGGGCCTCCAGAGCAAGCCGCCGGCTCCCAGACACCCTCTGTCCTTTCTCGCCTGTATTTCAAGCTGCAGACGCTCCAGGTCTACTGTTTCGAGCAGACGCTAACTCGTGAGTACAATATAGGCGGCTGCCTCAGCACAGGCGGCAGTGAAACGGGTGGAGCCGCCGACAATACGCAGGAGTACGAGGAGACACATTGAGGGTTGAGCCCGCGGTGTTGAGCTGGGAGTAGGAATCGGGGATGCTCGCGGTGGGGAGCGAGAGGGGTGGAGGGACATGTAATGATGTCGCCGGCGTTGTCGGATAGGGCGTGTGCCTAGTTCTTGGAACGTAAAGGATAAGGCTTCTCGCTGAATGAGATGATTTTTGGACCAACTTGGTTTCCAACCGCACTGTGATATCCGTACCTTGACGAGCATAGAGCTTAGCGACCCGGGGGGCTCTATCCTGCCCACGGAATGGCGTCGGCTCGCACGTAGCTGCGGCCTTTAACACTCATTTGTGGGTCTCCTAAGTGGGTTGTATTTGTCCTAGGAGTGCTGATGTTATTCAGACCAGACTTAGACGCCTCGTTGCGAAGGGGCGATTTTCGAGCTTTGAAGCAAATATTGACAAATTTATCAAGCCTAGACAGCCCATGCTCATGTATCCTCTCGAAGGGAGAACCCGGTTTGACATTTGTTGATGGGGAAATAGAGATTATAGTAGCCCGAACATACGCCCAAGTTACTCAGCCATATTTCGGAATCTGTTGGGATGCTGAATTGAACACCCCATATACAGCCGCTGGAGTATGGTGAAGGAGTCAACTTGTGCTGCATCCTAACTTGCCGGTAGGTGCCCCCTTTTCGGAACAAAAGAGCGGCCCTTGGCATGTCGAGCCACCTTGTCCCTGAAAACCCCATATTGCGGGCGATGGTAATTTCCTCGTGAAGTATTTGTTTTGGGCCGGATGATGCCCAGGCATAGAATGATTGGTTGATTGATTGTATTTAACGTGGGGGATCGCTCCTCAGTAGTGCAAACCACGCCTCCCAGAGCCTCTGCATCGCAGGGTTGTGGAGGTATCAAGATAATAAGTACAGTCAGTCCCGCTCACGAGCCCATCCCCGTTGTTGCGGCTGTATGAATTTGGGGTCATCCATCTGGTCCTTTAAGAACAGCTATCTATCGGGGGCAGATTGTTGAAAAGAACTTGCTCTTCTCAACAAATCTTGCCCGCCCAGGCATAGAAGTTTAGGAACAAACGTAGGTGTTTGGCTTATTCGCTGTGTCGGCTTTCTCTTCGTATCTTGCTGTCTTCTCAATAGGCGTCTTCGAAGCCATCTTTCTAGATCTTCGCGGCTTCTTTTAGACATTCTCTCTGTCGCCCTCGTATCCGGCACTACCACCCATCTCCTCTTTATCGTAGGTGGAAGATTGGGGAAGTTCTCGATTATGCTGGCCATATTGCTCGAGAGGGCACTGAGTTCGAATCTATCCGCACCAAACAATCTTACAGTCCGAAGACAAGGTGAGGGAGAGGCGGAGGGGAAGACTTTCGAACTCAAAATAAGGTCAAAAGTTACAATATACTTGATCGATATTGTTCAACGCGAGCCTTGCTGAAGTTCAGCCTCAGCGGTCTTCGAACCAACCAGTTCCTCGGTGTATGGTCACGTCATACCGCTTTGTAGCCTGCTCGCATACCTACTCGAAGACAAGAATTTTGGCACTGAAGCCATTCAGCATAGGCCAACTTCTATGCAACCAGCTCCACGAATTTAGTGGAGGGGAATATATCATGGATCTGAACGTCTGGTTTACCTAGGTCGTCCTGTTCCGCGGCAGAGGAAAGGCGTAAAACGGTATAGTGCAGCAGCAGCCATCCGTTTCCAGCTCGCCTATGCCTGTCTAGATTCCCCCTCCCTCACCGAGCCGTGTTATGCCTAGATATCGGTCTTTGGGGCTGTGCACGACGAACCTTTGACTTACTGATCATTATTGGGTGAAGTTTCTCAGATCGGCCAACAAGCCGGGAATGTTGCATCCATCAATGGTCATGTTGGTTCGGCACCTGCATGTACGCGAAGAAAGCAAGGGGGTTACATTCATGAATGGTAATGTTGGTCCAACAGCTGCATCTAAGCGAGGACCGCCATGATCGTGGCGGGACACTGCAATGTAACTTTTCCCCTATCTTGCCAAGGCCCAATTGTTGATCCCGTCAGATACACTCTTTGCATTGTTTTGGCTCAAGGAACTTCCAACCCCTAGTTTGACCTTGCACTAGTTTTGCGAACCATGGATACCGCAAATAACGTTGTAGTGGCCTCTGCCAACAAGACACCCAGTACCGTCAAGCATGGTAATGCTACTGCGGGACTCCCGGGCAATTGGGGACACACCGATGGCAAAGTCATCGTCTACCTTCGCGGTTTTCGCTTCGCAATGCTCGCCACCTTGTACGTGACACCCTCTGTTCGAACCCTCTGGGACTTAAAATATGCTTGCTTCCTAGGTTGGCCGCAGAGGCTGACGGCACTTGATGATGCAACAGGATCAGCATCATGATCTTCATAGTGGGCGCCGAAACGAACATCACCGTCACCTCGGTTGTGACTATCACGCGCGGCCTGGGTGGTTTCGAGAGAAACAGCTGAGTCTTGTCAGGCTATCAGCTCGGGTTTGTCAGTAAGTGATGAGCTAGTTTCCTGTCTATGCCTGTACCATAGGGCATCTGTGGATTACTCTTTTCACACTGTCTCAGCCCTCATCGTCATATCTGCCAGAATGAGCGACATTTTCGGCCGAAAGCCCATAACTGCTGGCCTTCTTCTTTTATTCGTCGTATTCTCGGCTGATTGTGATGCTGTCAAACAGAGCGTGGGGGCATTTAGATGGGTGAAAACGTATATTCTGGTGTAATCCGTGTTCTTGTTGTATCTCTGTGAAAATCCTTCTGTGGGCTAAGTGGCCCAAAAATGCCCTATTGGCCTTGTTGGTGCACTGCCACCTCCCTGAAGGCCACGGTGGCTTGCGCGCCATTCAACAGCTGCTGCGCAAATTATGACACAGCTGTAAGTCTTCTCTATCTAAGCCTGGTCATGTACTGCAATGTTAGAGTTAAACCGAGACCATTGACGAGAGTCGGGTAGAAGTACGACAGCGTGGAAGAGCCAACAGTGTCAGCTGCTATACAGCAGAACTACGACTCATCACGGCCTACTTGGCACTGATCATGAAGAATAGCAAGTAAATAAGCAAATAAGTATATCGTTGCAAGTCGGGAAATCGATCTTGCGCAGAAAACATCATGGTGTATGACGAGGGGCACCTGATTACCAAGTCTGTGCTATGTGGGTTTGGACGACTAGGCCTTGTCCAGATTTGGCGTCGTCTCACCAAAGTATTCGTTCGTGCCTTTAACTTATCCGCGTCACCATAGGGCAAATGGAAATTCATTTAGCGCTATTCTACTAGCCCCCATCTTGCTTCCGCATCCATAGCAATACAACCACCGACAATGCGGCACGCAGATGGCCCTACCACGGCTGTCAAGATTAAGCCACCTTTGGGAACGTTCTGGTTTCATCTGGGTTCATTACCATGACCACCTCAACGATGCGTCCGCAGCAATCCAAAGCGTCCTTCGCCGCGTTTGCAACCATGTCGCAGGTCTGCTGGTGGAAGGATATAGTGACCGCTTAGCGGGACCTTTGCTGTTGTCTAATAGCCGCGACGGAATAATTTAAGCACCGGTAGTTAAAGATATCGGGATCGATAGTATAATATCCGAAGCTATTAGTAAGTTCCTTAGCAATTAAATCCTTTACAGTGAACGCATTGTCGTGTAGATTTATAAAATCCGCGGGATAAGCCTTAAAATAATTGTTATAAGTTATAAATATAACGTAATTATATAACTTTAATAAGAGCCGGGCTAAAAACATTAAGTTTTATAGCGTTAAAGTTTTGACATGGTATCTAAGACGCAGACATTTATAAGTTTGAGGAGACTGGGTTTATAATGGGCATTATTGGGTCTGGCATGGTCATTATAAGCGCCAAAAGACGTGACAGGCCTAGACAAGCTCAGCAAGGCAACAGAGAATAGTCTACAGCAATCTCTGCTATTAATGCTGATGGTTGGGTGGTCCTCCCATACATTATTTTGTAGGGCAAAACCCAGCTCGCATCATGGTATCATAATATGACATTACCACACGGTTGGAAGGTGCCCGTGTCTGACAATGGATGAACTATGAATAAGATCGGTTAAAAATGGATTCAGCATTTCGACAAGTATACCAAACCGTGTATTACTGCTGCTAAACGCCTCCTCATCCTAGATGGTCACAAAAGCCACCATTCCCAGGTCGTTGAGGATTATTACCAGAACAACGGCATTATTACCCTTTGTATGCCTGCCCACTGGTCACACAGGCTCCAGCCTCTAGATGTCAGCTATTTTAGCCTGTTTAAACGAGCTTATGGTCGCATGATTAAGGATATCATCTGGCGTTATATAACCCATATTTTGAAAGAGGACTTTCTTACAATATTTTATGAAGCACATAATGCTGCTATGATGCCAGGAAACATTCGAACAGGTTTCAGTGCCACTGGGCTTGTTTCTTTTGACCCAGAAAGTGTCATTTCAAAGCTAGATGCTGTCGCTGTCGTACAAACACTGTCACCAGACACCAATCTGCCACCCACTATTTGGACTTCCAAGACGCCTACCACCATTAACAAAGCGGTAAACCAATTGGTTTATATTCAAAATAGAGTCAGAAACCACTAAAGAAGCTCACCTATATCAATAATTAATACGTTGAGCTCGGTTTTAAAGGCTACATATAGTGTTATACATAAGGTTGCTTTGGTTAATTCCTGGGTCCGCGAATTAAAAAAGGCTAATTACTTGTTAAGTAAATACTAGAAAGGAAAAAATAATTATTTAATAAAAAGAACAATACTTTCTATGAAAGATACAATAGATCTTTAGGCTGTAAAGAATAGTGCTGAGCTGGCGAGATAGGAAATGGGTAAATGTAGTCGTCGTTCAAGGAGGGCAGCAGCGCGTGAGCGACGTTGTGACGTTTGCGGCAACACTGGCTATAATACATGAACTTATATAATAGAGATAGAAACGTCTAAAAAAGAAGAATCCGATTAATTAGATTGAATTAAATGCGTTGTAATCGAGTTATTTGACATATTGGTTAGAAGGTTGGTAAGAAATTGCCGTTCGCTTGTGATTGCCGCTCGCTTGTTATCTACGTTAACTTTTTAATAAATCAGCTTGTTTTTTAAGACTTTCACATAATATATTAACATATAAATGAAGTACCCTTAGGTTTTTTTTATCAATATAGTATATAAAAATAACTAATAAAGTTTTTTTAAAGCTATTTTAAGTAAATCTTTATTGATTAAATATTTTATAAAGCGTTTCATTTTATTTATAATAAGAGCTTAAGAATTAAGATCAGCTTTCTTGATATTTTATTTGTTTTTTTTATATAAAGGAATTAAAGCTATTAAGTTTATAATTGATGTGATTAAATACGATAAAAATCATAAAACTTTTTAAAAACTTAAAATTCTATATTTAAAATCAAAAGTTGTATCTTTAATATTAAAAATGTATTACTTATACTGTTATTTAATATACTAAACATAGTATATTAATAAGTAAAATAGGCACAAATCTGTTTAAATATTAAGGAGAACCTTCTTTAATACATAAGCGACAGTGAATAAGTACCGTGAGAGAACGGGTTGAAATAGTAGTTTTATAAGCAGCTCGAGCTAAGGGAAGAGCGTACCTCTTGCATAATGGGTCACCAAGTTAACATTAGATGCGAGCAATTTGCGTAGTTAAACCGATGATCAAAAATGAATTAGTGTCTAAAGTTAGACCCGAAGCTAGGTGATCTTACTATAGTCAGGATTATAAAAGTCCGAAGGGGTTATCGTAGCAAAGATATCCGAAGAACTAAAGTAAGTATAAAAGTAAAATTGTTTTAATATTAACGAAAGTCAATTAAACTCATTTTTTAACAAAGTTATTATTTTTAAAAAAGACATATTAAAGTTATTCGATATTCTTTTCATAAAATGATGTCATTATTTAATTAACTTTATATTTAATAATATTTTAATGACTTAAATTTTCTTTTATAAGGTATAAGAAATTTTAATGAATTGTAAGTACGTAAACGATTTTTACAAAGTAACATTATAACTTGAAGAAAACTTAAATAATACTTAATTAAAATTAGTTTAATATTTAATAGTTTAATAACTTGCTTTTACCGTTATTAACTAAAAGGCTAACCATTTTATATTTAAAACACTTTACTTTAATATGAAAATTACGGTATTAACAAAGTTTAATTATAAAGTTGGTCAAAATTATATTCATAACGGGCGCGCCCATTTTTATAACGTTATTATTAATATTAAATAACATCTTAAGGATTAGAAAATAGACTTTTAAAAATTAATATTGGACGATATGTTTTCGATTTCATATTATTATTTAACTACTACGTAGCTTAAAATGTTAGTTATTAAGATATTTTTAAAATATTTTGCTTTATTATATGATAATTATTTAAAAACGTAAATCTTTCTATAAGTTAAACTCAACTATAATTAAATCTTATTTTAAAACATATTATTTATTTTAATAACAAGGTTTATACATGTTTTAGTCTCTTTTATTATATTTTTATTTATTGTGATATTAATATTATTGAAAAATCATTATATTTTAATTTTCAAATATCAATAAACGTTTTTAGTTTTTAGATTTATAATAAAAGCGTGGTAAATAGCTTGGATTGGTTTTTATGATAAGATTAAAGTGCTTTTAAACTTTATCATGACTTTACTTTTGTCACGGCGAGCGTACTGAGGAGCTGGGACATGGCCGGCAGCAAGCAGCTATTACTCTATTGACGAGAATATCAAGACTAGAGAGGAAAGGAAGAGAGAGAGAGATAGGTACAGTAGGAGGTTGCCCCTTTAAGGGGATCCTCTGGTCAGCTACTTCCCCTATTAGGAAGTATCCACTTGTCATGTGGGAAGGTCTGTGCAGGCCGTCACAGCAATTACCAACCCTCTGGTATCTGTGTATGCCAGTATACTTCAACCGTAACCGTCCGTGTGTAGATAGGAAGGTCGGAATAAAGGCACAAATATTGGAAATTTGTACGTGAGTAGCTTCAGACGTGGTAGCACGCTGAGAGGCGTCAGACGTCTTGAACAGACACTGAGAATGGTTTCTGTCACCTCAGTGGTCCCCAAAATGCGTTAGCAGTGGCTTGAGAATTGCGTGCTGAAATACAAAGGATGTGGGTGATCGAGGATGCTTCTGTACGATCAGAACGTTGGCAGAAGGTGTGAATGCGAGGCTGTATAACCGCTCGCGGAATGGTGCTGTGAATGGCACTGTGGTGGTCTCAGCACAAAAAAAAAACCGTGTGAGTTGCCGGGGGGATTGGCGCTATTGAGATCGCAAAATGTCGTCAAGAACGCGAAAATTTGTGCCCATCAATAGGAACAACAATAAGGTGCAGTAGCGGGGGCGGATGAGGGCTCATAACCTGTTGCACAGCAAGAAGGCCAAAAGGTTGCATATCTGCTGTATTGGTACTGTTATTGTTAAAGGTCTGGAGGTGGTGCGCAGCTGCAGTGGATGTGGGCAATATGCCAGCCCAAGTGGGTCACGTGACCACACAACAGATTGAGGGGTTGTAGACTCTCATAAGCAAATGAAAGAGAGAGTCCCCGGATTCTTGGATGTTAGAACGGACGGATTTGGAAGAAGCATATGCTGTTTCTCTGCAGCAAAGAGCTCGGCGCCCAGCAGCCGCATTGGGTCTTCCGTGTGACCAACTTGTGCATTGGTGGTACCAACTGAGAGTTGAAGGCTTCGCTTGCGAGATGATAATAATTGTATTTAACGTGGGAATTTGCTCCTCAGTAGTGCAAACCACGCCTCACAGAGCCTCTGCATCGCAGGGTTGTGGAGGTATTAAGATAATAAGTACAGTCAGTCCCGTTCACAAGCCTATCCCCGTTGTTGCGGCTGTATGACTTTGGGGTCATCCATCTGGTCCTTCAAGAATAGCTGTCTATTGGGGGCAGATTGATGAAAAGAACTTGCTCTTCTTAACAAATCTTGCCCATTCCGTGCTCCTCTCCCCAAGTATTGTAAACAAGCTGCCCTAGACGAGTACCTAGACAGCAGCCGTTTTTTTCCTAGCCTCTTACAAAAGAAAATGTGTTGTGGTGTTTTCTTTTTACCACAGCTGTAGTGATCATTCGAGTCTGTATGCCCAAAGCGTTCATGGTATCTAGCAAAGTCGCCATGTCCAGATCTGGCCGCTAGAAGTCTGTGTAAAGTACTCCTCTTAAAAGATATAAGGTCTCTTTTAGTTACTATATGTGAGTATATTTCTTGATATCTAGGTTCTGATTGGTCTTTTTACCATTGATTGAACTCTTTCTTGCCCTTTTTTTTGAGATCTCTTTTGACCCAAGAGATTATAGGAAGGTTTGTCGTGTCTGTTTCTAGTATGGCACCCTCTTTTGCTAGTGTGTCGGCAGTTTCGTTGCCATCAATATCTCTGTGTCCAGGAATCCACTTGACGGTCACTCCAGAAGTGCGTGCTGTGGCAAGTTCTTGAAATCGTAGAAAAATGTTTTGTGATGTCTCAGGTGGAGTCCTATTGAGCCCATTTACCACTGACGTGTTGTCCAGGCAGACATATAGCCGTTCTCTGCGTCTAATTGCCCTGGCTGCTGCGAGACCTTAGAGAGCGCCATGGACTTCAACATTTACTACTTTTGCTTAGAGAAGTCTGCCTTTTCCCCGCTATACTTCTTGTGTAGTGCCGCCTTTCCTGATGGTGTAACCTCATCCAGTATGGGTTGTGCCTTGGTCGTCCAATTGTGATCTATCCGAGTAAATGACAAGGTCAGTGCTCACATTTCTTCCCTGTAGCCATTGCTTAAAGAGCTCTATTTTTTTGTTTTTATTTTGCAGACTGGGGGCTTCTTTTATGATGGCCTGGTAAGTATTGGTCTCTGGAAGTCAGGGACTAATTGGAAGCTCCTTTGTAGCCTTGTTAATTCCTTGCAAGCTTGTATTTGGAGCCTGCCAATAAGAGGGTGTCTCTGGTCTATTCGTCCTAGTCGGAGGCTGTGACGTCGTCTTATTGACTCCGCAAGAACTCCTGCTGGGGGAATCTGTGATTCAAAGTGTAGGATATGTCCAGGGTGTGTTTTCCAGACTGGCAAGATAGCCCTGATCGCTGTTCGTAGTACGGCATCTATTGTTCCAAGAAGCCCCTTAATGCGACATGCTGATGTCCCACCTAAGCTCCCAACTTTCTGGATTCCTGGGTACCAGGCCTCCAGGCCGTGTGTAAGAATAGGAATAACACAAGCTTTCACAGCCCTCTTGGTTGACTTTTTATAAACGTAGTACTAACTCTTTTATAATTGCTAGTATTTTAACTTAGTATTTATTACGCTGTGATTCAAGGTGTGCCCCTTACTTTATGAAGCAAATTAAATACCGGCTGGCTGTAGGTCTCCTCCCTTCTTATAAGTAAATAATATATCTCAAAATCCTTTTAAAAATCGACGTTGTTTCTCGTTCCATAGACTTAATCACAGAGACCCTCTCTCCTAAGGGAAAAGAAAGGTAAGTACCATACGCCGTGGGCTGCGGCGAATTGCGGAGTGCCGTGGAGGTGTTCGTATTGATTCGGTAAATACTCACTCGTCTAGGTGACCTCACGTTCTGACGCCCTCAGGCTTGCCGTGCCTCATCTGCGTCGTGGACTCGGGGTGATGAGGTACACGGAAGGCGAACACTCACTCGCTCTCCTGGCGCCTCAGCTGGAGCTTTGGATGACATCCTCGTTGACAACTCCCCTCCCTCTCTAGCCCTTTCTTGGATGACGTCTTCCGGTGACTTGCTCTCCATCTGCTGGCGCCATGGCTTATGTGCTTAACTCTGTTGGCGCATCCTTTGACGAAGCCGAAGGCGAAGGCTTTCACCTGGGGCTTCCTCTATTCATAGTGCTCGTAGAGATGTTACAATGTAGCATCAATGTCGTGCGGAAATGGGTCATGCTTCCTGCTTGCTTGCGTGTTCTATTCATGGGGCGGGGGAAATTCTGACTAGCTATATACAGGTATAAATAGCAAAGCTCCTTCATACACCTCGGTCCAGCTGCTTTCTTTCACTGTCGTGACCACTGCTGCACCACCAAAGCTACCACTGCTCACAGACTCCTAGATTCCTAGATGTTCCATTCCCATCGTCGGCCTCTCTATCATGCTCTGCGGCTGATGCTAGCAATGACTGCAACTTGTGCTGACCCTTCTATATCCTAGTCCAAAAGCATTACAGGCTCAGAATCCGCCCTCGCTTCCCACGCACATGCGGCAGCTAAAGACGCCGTCGGGGTCGACGGCGTTCTTGATCTCCAGAAGTCGGTCGTAATTCGAGCCGAAGTACGACTCTTGCCAGTTCTCCTCGTAGCCGTAGGCTTCGTTGTAGTAGGCGGCTGTGCCAAAGGTTGTCGTCATGTTTGCCACGATAGCCTCCGAGGTCTCGTTCTGCTCGGCAGTGGGTCCGCTCCACGAGCCAAAATTGCTGTTTGACGGTTAGTATCTGGCGCCACACCCCTGAGGAGGCTCGTGGTCTCCATAGCTGCTGGGGACTCACGATGTGTCGATGAATGCAAAAGCGTTACGCCAGTCGGGGTGTACCGAGGTCTGCTCATGGGTCAGTATGACGCGAATGGTACAACTCGTGATAAAGGCCAAACTCACGGCGTCACCAGCAATGTCCTGTGTCACGCCTCCCACATCTAGTTCCAGTCAGCACACACAATCCCTGCAGGGTCTCGACTCAAGGTCAACATACGATTCTGCCAGATAATCGGGATGGATGACGGCAGGGCCAAGATGTAGTCCTTGATGCTCTGCAAATTGTTGTCCATCGTTTCAAATGAGATCAGCCGGCTGAACACCTGCAAGTTAATGCCAACAGGGGTCCCAGAGTCGACGGCGGGCCAGATGAGACCTTGATAGGCATCGTTGTAAGATGATGAGCCCGCGAACTGCTCCGCTGTGAATTGGGGTGTGCACCCTGTGACGTTGTTGATGTCGTCGAAATCACCTAGGCTGACTTTGGCGCTCGCCACCGACTCCTCGTCTTGGTAAGCGACCAGGGACATGATGGAGTACCCCAGATCGTCTCCAGAACATGACCAAAGGCCGGCATGCCCCAGATCACGCAGCTGCTGTTGTGCGTCAATCAGGTTGGTAATGAGCTGCTCGTATGAGGCTCGACTCTCGCAGCCTATGGCTCCAGCGACGACGTTGACAGCAGCCAGCGCAGGGTAGGTCTTTATCCACACCCGAGTGGTTACCCCGAAAGTGCCTGGAGAGCGACGTGTTAGTTCACAAACCTTTTGCTTTCGAAAAACCAGGCTGCTTACCTCCACCGCCACGCAAGGCCCAGAATAGGTCCTCGTTGGTGCATTCATTCGCGATCTTGATGCTGCCATCGGCGGTGACAACTTGGAACTGCAGCGCGTCTGGTCAAGTTAGGATATATCAATGAGTCATCTGCGGGGCTTCAATATACTTACTGTCAACTCCCATGCCAAAGTGAGTAGCCAGAGGGCCTGGACACGTTAATTAGAAGGATACGAGCAACGGGATCAATGAAATAATATCTTACCGAGGCCGCCACCGAGGATATATCCACCCATAGCTCCAACTGTAGCGGTCGTCCCACCGATAGTGACCCTGCCATTCTCCCCTGCCCAGATGTTCAAGGCCTCGACATCCACACCGGGACCAGCTGAAAGAGCGTATGAAGAGTTCAAGTCGCAGCCAGCGGGAAGGAAGTCTGGCACGCCTTCGGTATCGTCCATGTGGTGAGTCCAGATAGACAAGGAGCCGGCGCCCGATGACCGACCGCTGTAGTCGTGGCCGGTCTGTGAAAATGGCACCAGTTAGCGCCAGTCCTGAACTAAGACAAAGAAAGGGAAACCTCACGTTCTTAATCCGCAGGCGGAGATTGTACTCGGCCGCAAACTTCACTGCCGCTGCCACATCATCCACGGACGTGGCATTGACGACGTACGACGGCATGTTGCCGATGGTGCATTCTCCCTCAATCGCGGCTGGAGCTGACCCGTTCGTGTTCGAATCTGGTACGGGGCACCCAATTGTCCCATACTGTTCGAAGTTGGTGTACATCACACCGGCTAGACTCAATATTTCAGCGACGAGTTTGGCTCTTCTCTTGTAGTTTAAGAGTTTGGTAATGAAATGAATCGTGACTGGCATCTTACATGCAAGTTCCAGTCTGTAGTCGCTGTCACTCTTTTCGGCGGCAAGCGATGCGCATTCTCCGGCATTGTAGCTCGCAGAGTAGCAGGCGGCTCCATACGGAACAGTTTTGATCAGGTTACCACCAACGGTCTCATTAAACTTCGTGATCGCATCGTCCGACGGAAAGCAGTCGTCTCCGGGGAGGCAGTATGGCGCAGCTCCGTGTACCGGGAGAGCCACGCCAGCAAGGATGGCCAGACCTAAAACGAGAGACGACATCTCAATAGCTAAAGAAGGAACGAAAATGAAGGTAACCAGGATGGCCGGCTCATGGATGATAGGAGAGGTGACGGGCAGCCTCTTATCCAGAAGCGTGAACTACCTGTTCCTGGGATGTGCTGTATCCTTGTATTGTCTTCGCAATTCAGGGAAGGCCGGAACGATGAGCGCGTGGTCTTAAAGCCCACTTTGGAGACGCTGCCGTCGGTCTGGACCCTGAATGTTGTTCTAGCCAGGCAAGGGTTGAACCATCCTGCCCACTTTATCCAATATAATGACACCCTTGTAAATTTTGGTACGTGTTGAGGACATCTTAATGGTTATAGGGGTAATCATAGTTATACGGCGTCATCTAACTCTGGCCTCTCAATGTTTTACTAGCCCAGAGTGAAGTCTCCAGGACGCGATGAGTGCCCTTCTGGTTACGTTACTGATGCCAATGGGTAACCAAGTGACTTGAATGTCGTTCTTGTTATTTGTGGAGTATACCGTTTCGAGAGAGTTGTGGGGCTAAACCAAGACCTTCCCGCCATAATATCGGTCCCGAAGACCTCGTGACAGCTTGATCACCAGCAGAGTCCACCTCCCGCAAACGTGGTCCGGCAGATTGGGATTGTCCGGAGTCCTCCCTCACGATATTCCAGCATCATGTTTATATGATTACCCACTGCCCGGGTCGTCGAGTCTGAAAGCAGTAACTCTAAACGAATAGGGCCCGTTCATGGTCTGGTTGCATGCTCTGAATCCCTGGCCCGGGTCCACGATCTGATCCTTCAGGATCCAAAAGAGACTTGCTAGGTATTTGATTGGTGACAGGGTTGTCGACCGAGTCCCCCGCCCGCCTGCCCACTTATAGCCGTCAATAATAGTCACCAATTATCCCAAGCTACTGCGTACGCGGTTTACTAACTACTTCAGATGTAGATCTACCTTGACTATCAACAAGGACTGCCGAAAGAAGAGTCATTGAGCGCGCAGTCCACCGAAGGTCATACTCCGCCACGTGGATCTTCTATACAGTAGTAGCAGCATAACCCTATTATCGTGGTTCAAGCTTCCCCACCTCGACTATACCCTGTCTTGTCAATCTATCGTGACTCCTTGTATCGACATTATCCGTCGACCTCCTGCTCGATCGAGACAAATGAACCGAGGCAAACGAACTAGTTCCAATCCTGTTAACCCATCGTTCGGATCCTCCCCTACCCCTATTACTATCTTCGAGCGTTCGTTCCCTTGCAAGGTGCAGGGTAAATGACAATGGGCTGGCCAAATGAACCTGGTCGTGACGGTCTGCTCCTGTTGTTGGCTAGAGGCAGTTCGCATTCTCGGTCCCGAACACGCGGTCTAGACTATTACAGAGCGAAAGTCTCGGTGACAGGAACTTGGCATCATACCATGGCTCAGTGTATCATACAAAAGGCTCGCTTCAGTCCCGTAGGCGGTGCCACAGTCAGCCTGCGCGTTCTAGTCTCGGGTTAGAAAGGTCGAGACCTGCAACACTCGCTCCTAGACGGGTGAAAACCTGCAGCGGCACACCCGGTGTGAAGCGGAAAATGGGTATTAACGTTATATATAAGAGCCTAAGTATTCGAGGGTGTCCGTCTAACTTGGCCTCTCGTGGATCTATACACCGTTTACCAAAGCCTCAGACTACACCCCCCCGTTTCTCTTCCATACCAGTGGTTTCCATAATGCAGTCCCTCGCTCTCCTCCTCCCTCTCGCAGCCGCGGCCACCGCCGTGGGCGTCACCGAGATCGCGAATATCACCCTCGTCGCCAACTCCAGCATCGCAGTGTTCGACGTGGCCACGCAGGTGATTCTCCAGCAGCCGGGTGCCCTCACAGTGCGCACCTCCCGCCTGGTCGAGAACGCGGACAGCTTCCGCATGTTCGTCGACTGGGAGTCAGTCGAAGCGTGCCAAGCTTTCGCCAACAGCCAGTCGTACGAGGAGATCTCCCACAAGGTCAGCCCCGTCATCGCCGCGACGCCGGTAACCTACAACGTGGAGCTGTCGCCTTTCCCGCCCTTCGTGTTCAACAACGACGAGGGACAGGGAGTGTCGCCCTTCACCGAATTCCTCAACTTCTTCTTCCCGGCGACGCCAGCTACACCGAGGCGCGCAAGGCCAACGTGACACAGGCAGTCATGAACTTTCTGAACCGTACGTGTGAAAACATCCCATTACAAGACCCTGAGTCTTGTCGAGAATAACCTTCGTTGTTCCCTTTCCTTCTTCATATAAAAAATGGCCGTACGGGTTTAAAGACAGGATGTTAACGTACACGCAGAGACCAAGGACACTGCCGAAGGATTCACCGGGCAGACAGCAATGGGGTGGGTCGTGGAGGGGGAGGAGATCCCTTACAACGGCACGTCCTGTCGAGTCTTCGTGCTCGGAGTTGGCTGGGAAAGCGTCGCGGACCACGAAGCTTGGATGGAGACGGATGCCTATAAGGAGTACATCCCGGAGCTATGGGCTCTGGACGGTCTGCTTGGGATTGAGTTGCGTCACGTCAGCAACAAGGTTGTCCATGCTGAGGCATAGGGGCGCCGAAAGGTCAAGGGCGGAACTCGATTTTATTTCGAGTTGGTGACGATGGGCTTCGAAGTCGCTTGATGTGAGGTTCCGGGTGACAGCCGAACTCAAGTGTTTTAGACTATTGGGACGGCGCATGCCAACCACCGAGTCATGCTGCAATCACTGGATGTCATCGTTCGATGAAACAAGGGATTGGGATTTTCTGCACGAGGGGTAAATGACTTGATTCCAGGGACTATCGTTCACGTATTATCCATCGCTCAATGCCATCAACAGGCTTCAGTCCATATACTTGCCAAGGTCCTCATTCGGGGCCCTCTCTTGTAGGTTGGCCACTCGCTGGCTTTCATCCTTATTGTTATGTGTCACTTTGAGGTACTCCTTGAACTGAAGAGCTATACCGCAGACTTCCTCGAAGTGCTGGGGCTTGAGAACGGGAATCCCGCCCGGCTTCTTACTCTCGGCTTCCTTGACGCTGAACTCGTATTCGCATAGAGCAACGGCCGTCTGGAAGGCGTTTCGGATCTCCCTGCCGTTCCAGCCGATCCTCTGCATCTTGGAGTTCTCCAGCACGTAGTCTCTGGTGTCGCGGTGGATCCTGATCTCTTCGTCCCGGTCGTCTTCCAGTTTCTAGAAGAAGCGCTTCCAGATCTTCTTTCGGTCCTCTTCGTCGAGATCCTTGTAGTGGATCACAACCTGTGAAAAGTCAGTCTATGGCTGTAGTGGGCTTGGTGTGACGCTCACGTGGATCCTTGAGACGAATGCGTCATCGAAAGTCCCGACTCGATTGGTAGTCAGGAAGAGGCTACCTCGGTAATCTGTTACGCAAGTAAGCATCATGTACTTATTCAACCAGTGCGTTGGGCTTGGAAGCAATTTCAACCACTTGGCAGAGAACTCAAATCGCTGAAGCAGAGGTGGTCATCATCGATTGACTTACACTCCATGCAGCGCAGGAAGACTGGAAATCACGTTAGTTTTGATGCTTGATAGATTTGGATATAGCAGGTCGTCGCTCACTGGAGACCATCGTGTTTCGCTTCAAGTCTGCCAAAAAACGTCTTTCGGTGTATACATCTGCTTCGTCGAGGAGCATGACTGCACCCCATCTCTCCGCGAGCTTGAACCAAACCGAGATTTGCTTCTCAAGTTTCGTCTCGTCATTGCCCAGGTCTCCACAGGTGAGAGATAGCAGCGGACGGCCTGTGAACTCTGCGATGCATTCTGTAGGTGCACGAATCAGTCTTCTACGCCGGAGCATCGAACTTCAGTGGTGTAAAGGTTACCGGCAGTCTATTGGGTGGTCAGTCTGGTCCGTTCGTAATCATGTGTTCATGACTCACAAATATCTTGCCAACACCTGGGCTCCCATGCAACAGGAATATCTTGCCCTCGCCCTCCTTCTCTATGAAATCGGCGTTCCAGGGCCTCGCTGTCGGGCTTCCGTGGCCGGAGCCAGTAGCATATCGATGCACGAGTGCCTTGATCAGTCTTTTCTTATCTTCAGGCATCACCAATGTGTCTATAGCCACTTTACTAACTTTGGCTTCATGACAATTTTCGACGTCGAAGATATCTGTCAGGTCCTTGTGAGTGATTCTCCTGATAAGAGCAGACGGACGAGATATGGATGCTGCTCACGCCAAGTTCTTGACTTCAAAGCAAAGCCCATGAGGCGTTTCGAGCAGAGCATATATCGGTGGTTGGCATCTGCATCTGGCCCACCCACCAGCTCCAACGGTGAATCTTTCAAAGGGTCGATCAAGTCATACTCCTTCCACTTGAAGTTTGTAGGTGGGTGTGGTCGAAGACCGAGGCATTAAGTACAAGGACATTGTACTCGTCCGTATCCGAAGTCTTCCATCAACTCCGGTTCCTTCTCGTTCGCGTTGGCATCTTCATCATCAGACTTGCTATCACTGTCAGGAACGTATCTCTTCTTCTTCTTCTTCGGTTTCTTCTGCATGTGTCCAATGCGCCTCTGTTCCCAGTACGATGAACAGTCGATGACGATGCGATCCTCGACCTGGATTCGTTAGTCTTTGATGACGCTTATGAGTGATTCAACTTGCATGCTGTCTAGGGAAATCGAGAGTTCCCCCTTTGTAGCCGACCATTCCGCCTCGGAGCAAATTATACCACATTTTCCCTTCTGTTCGGAGGCGTTCCCTTGTGGCACCATTGTCATGCTGGTCTTGAAACACAGAAGAGATCACGTCAAGATGAACTATTCGTCTTTCTCCCTCAAAAGGGGGAAGAACGACTTCTCTCTTGAACCTGCGTACTCGTTTTCCTTCATAGTCAAGGTACCAGAGAGTCAGTGTGTACTCTTTGAGCTTCTCTGGAGGTGATGATAAGATGGAAGAGTCCGTTTCGATACTGTGTCACGTATGCTGCGAGACGACCTTCAGACTCTACGTAAACGGTCGTGCCTGGCCTGTATAGCAACCATAGCATCGCAAACGTCGCCATAGCCTCCTGTTTCTGGTGTCGCTTTTGTTCCTCTGTGATCCTGTCTTTCCAGATTGACCCCTTGAGGAAGTTGAGCACCACATCGATATGTTGGTGCGTCTCCTTGTCGCATATCCCGGACGATGGATTCGGCCTAAGCGAAGTATCTGCCTTTTGCGATTCCACGGACTGTGGTTCGTAGGTCGACTGGAATTCTTCGATCTCGCTCAAATGGTGAGCAATAACCCCGTATGGCTCTTGCAAGAGCAGAAACCGCATGTCGAGATCTACCTCCGGGTAGTACGCAACTAGCCCTCTCAACAGCGCAATGAACCTTTGAGAGCATATCTCGATTCGCGTACCTTGCGACGTAACGTCAATCCTGGGATTCTCGATGATTCCTTGATCCATAATCGACTTCCCGTATGTTGCGGAGTGACGATTGATCAAGTGAGTCGTCCAAACCATCGAGATAACTTTCATGACTCCCTCATTGCTTTTGAGAGCGACACCTTTTCTGGCCTCATTTAGGTCCAGCAATCCCGGCCAATCCTCTCTGCCAACAAGGCGTCCCTTATTGTCTTGATACGAGACCTCATAGGATACGCGCAAGTCCGTGCTAGGCTTGTTGTCCTTCACGGCCTCGCTTTGGACTTCCTTGGTAAAATTCTGCTCGCAGGCTGGGCAATCATCTAGGGAAAGCTTCTGCATGATGGAGTGAGAATACCCGGTTTTTGGGCAGTACAGTGAAGCCTGACATCCCCACACCTTCTTCCTTTCCACTTCGGTAGACACAAGCTGTGTGTCCATGGGCGTAGACTCGGTAGGTTTTGTCGCTACCTCAGAAGATGATGTCGTGCTTGACTCGGTCAGGTTCATATCGGCTGAATCCAAGTTTGCAATACTGGACGATAGCTGCTTTGGTACAGCGTCGACCGCCGCGGAGGCAATTATCTGGGTCGCCATGGTGGGTGTAGAGCGATTGAACTGAAGCCCCGCAGCTCGAGGTTATCGGGAGTAGAAATCACCGACCACGGGAACGAGACGTGTCGGCGCAATCTCACTATGTAAGGGTTCTGTGCAACGACCCTCGCAGCACGGGATGGGCGCTCCGGTGAGCCTGGCGCTTTGAGAGATGCCACTGGATAATCGGTTGCATATGGGGTTTCTCATGCATGCAGCTGCTCCGAATCTGTGACCAACACCTCATATCACATTGGGGGCCGAGAATATTCGGCTATGATAGGGTCGCCACGTACAGGATGTGCTCTCTGATCAATGCTGTGTACCATCCCACGGGGCAGTGCAATCCCAGGCTGGGAAGCCAGCTTCTGACCCTTACACATGACTCACCGGTACATATGCATGAACCTCGATGAGGCAGCCGAAGTCAAGGCTGTGTACCGTTCCACTTACCCCGGTAGAAAGCCTGTCACGTCAGTCCACGCTTCTCCTTTCCCCGCTGCAAAGCTGTCTGTCCGCACCAGGCTCGAAAGTTCTCCTGTCGTCAGAACTCAATGCTCTCGACGTGTCTATCGATAATCAGACATGGAACTAAGCAATCATGACCCAGCGGTGGCGGGTATTGTTCGGAGATACAGCGAAAAAGTTGCCAAAAAAATGCCCAATAATACGGTGGCGCAGGCACTCGGCATGTGGGAGCAAAAGCAGACGGGTGACGAGAACCGTGCCGCCAACTGGCTAAAATTCGACACACCTACTAAGTGCGGCTCGACAAGAATTCATTAATCATTAAAGCTTATACATCTGTAGTGATGGCCAGTTGTCGGAGCTTCAGAAGCAGTGCCGGGAAGTGGCCGAGACCTGGCGGATTTTCAAGTCGCAAAGTCGTAACGAAACCCTTTTTGAGGGCGTCAATACCCCGCCATTGATAGACACACTTCGAAAAGCGGTTGGTGATGCCTAAACAAGCTGGGACTCTAAAAAAGGAGAAGGGGTATGGCAAGGCCAAAGACAATGTTGCCTTCTTCCTACGAACCATGGACGACTATAAGCAACTATTCAGCGTTATTCCGAGTGGCGACAAGTATATCTCTTTGTTTACGGGAGTAATATCCTCAGTTGTCAAGGCAGGTTACTCACAGAACTTGTCAACTGGTTCGCAAGCTTACCATCTACAATCTACAGGCCTCGGTCATCTACGAGCATATCGCAGAAGTGTTCTCGCAAGCCTTAGCTGACATGAGCGACGATCTCGGATTCGTCCACGACAGCACTAAAATCTCGGATAGTCCTGCCATGCGCAAGGCGGTGATCGAGCTTTATGTCCACATGTTTAAGTTTCTCTGCGACATGATGAGCTGGTATTCGTCCCCCGGCAAACGAATCAAGAGTGCTTTCACTGTTCGCTTCTATGACGACAAAGTGAAAACCAAGGTGGCCAAGATCAAGCGCATTGTGAAGCGAGTCGAGAGGGAAGCGACCTTAGAAACAGGGTTCCGAGTCCAAGCTACCGAGCAGGGCATCGAAAGTCTCGGAGACTTGATCCGAAAGCTCGCAGACGAGAACCGGGCGGTAATTCAAGCGGATTTTTCACTACAGTTTCAGCAACTAGCCGACAAACTTCGGCCTGTTGGTTACAGCGCCGCGAAATTGTTGATTTTGACCACTGAATGGGTCTTTAGAGGTTCGTGATCTTAGTTAGATACCAATGGTCAATCACTAACTATATGATTAAGACCCAGAGACTGGTGGGTTGATAGAACGTCAGCAGCCTTTCGTCAGCTCCAACAACACGTCCACTCCACGACCCATCCCATCGCATGACTGTAAGTTACTGAACACTGCCTCTGTCCCACATTCTAACTCGCCTATCAGAGAGTACAACTAAATGAGTACTCTCGTGTCGTCAAACCGTATGCGCAAGATGCGAAGTCGGACCTCCTTGCCGAGGTCGACGTTACCAGCCGCCCAAACATCTCCGAAGAAGTGGGAATTGAAGTTCAAAGCTGGCTGAGAGAGCCAGGGACAAGCTTCTTGTGGGTAGAAGGCAGCGGGGACGAGTATTATGACTCACCACTCGCGGCCCTGGCCCTTCACATATGTGCCAGTGCCATGGGTGCTCGCATTCCAGCTATATCGTTCTTCAGCAAAGCACGATATGACTCCCCACCGAGTCTTCGTCAACACACATTGATGGCCTGATAGCCATGCTGTACTCCCTGATATCTCAACTGGTACATCTAGTCCCCGCAACGTTCAAGGCGAGCGCCACGCTCGATCACCACAGTTTTGAACAACTCGACGGGAGCATGCAAAGCGTCCCAACTGCGCTGGAGATCATCGAAGCTCTCCTCGAACTAGCACCACCCTCGCTGATGAGCGTGATCAATGGCTTGGAGATCATGGAGAGCAGGGAAACGATCAGGTCGATGGGCAAGCTCATGGAGATCTTCCGCAAAAGCGTATATTAACCTTATTAATCTTAAAAATAGCGGTAATTACGTATTTAAGGCTTTATTAGTTAATGTTTTATTATTACGTATATATATACTACATGCTTAACTAAGTAATAGTATTATAGTTTAAATTAGATTTTTATCGCGTTTTTAAGCGATTTAAAGCTTTATTAATCTTTTAAACGTTATTATACGATTTTGTTGTTTTGATGGTTGAAAAACAAAATATTTTATTATAGAGGTGAGTAGTAAGACAGCTGGTAATATTTAATAGTTATAAAAGTGTGTGAAAATATTAGCGCTTATTAAGCATATTATAGTTAATAGCAAGTTAGAATAGGTAAATAAAAACCTTAAAATTATATAAAAAAACATTTAAACGTTATTCAACAAGTTTATTATTTAATATGAAGTAAATAAGTATTAAACAGCTCTTATAGCTATGTTAAAACAAAAATTTACTTTATAAATTTATAGTTAAAACACAGGCTATTATCCGTCTTATTTAAAACCATTAACGTAGCTGACAAGCGAGTTGACATTACAAGCGAGTTGGCACTCGTCATGAACTCTCCAACTGCCATGTCAAATAACTTCACCACAACGCATTCAGTTCAATTCAATCAATCGGATTCCTCTTCCTCAGAGGTTTCTATCTCTATTGTACAAGTTCACGTATTATGGCCAGTATTGCTGCAAACGCCACACCGTCGCCCACGCGCTGCCGCCCGCCTCGAACGACGACTACCTTCACTCATTTCCTGTTTTGCCAGCTCAGTACCATCCTTTGCAGCCTAAAGATCTACTGCATCTTCAACAGAAAGTACTCCTCCTTTCATTAGACGTTTGTTTTTTGTTCTCTGGTGTTTACTTAGTAGGTGATTGGCCTCTTCTAGTTCGCGGACCCGGGAATCAACCAAAGTGACCTTATGCATAAGACCGTATGTAGCCTTTGAAAACGAGCTCAACGCATCAACTATTGATATAGGTGAGCTTCCCTGGTGGTTTCTAACTCGGTTTCGGATATAAACTGATTGGTTTACCGCTTTGTTAATGGTGATAGGCGTCTTCGAAGTCCAAGTAGTGGGTGGCAGATTGGGGTCTGGCGACGGTGTTCATATGACAGCGACAGTATCCAGCTTTGAAATGACACTTTCTGGGTCAAAAGGAACAAGCCCAGTGGTACTGAAACCTGCTCGAATGTTTCCTGGCGTCATAGCAGCGTTGTGTGCTTCACAAAACGCTGCAAGGAAGTCCTCCTTCGAAACATAGGTTATATGACACCGGATAAGATCCTTAATCATGCGACCGTAAGCTCGTTTGAGCGGGCTAAAACAGCCGACATCTAGAGGCTGGAGCCTGTGTGACGAGTGGGCAGGCATACAAAGGGTGATAATGCCATTGTTCTGACAATAATCCTCAAAGACCTGGGAATGGTGGCTTTCGTGACCATCTAGGATGAGGAGGCGTTTACCGGCAGTCATACGCGGTCTGGTATACTTGTTGAAATGCCGAATCCATTCCAACCCAATCTCGTTTGTAGTCCAACTGTTATTAGACACGGCCACCTTCTAATCGCGTGGTAATATCGTGTCACGATACCATGACGCGAGGTGGGTTTTGCCCTGTAGAATGATGAACGGCGGGACCACCCAACCATCAGCATTAACAGCAGAGATTGCTATAGACCATTCCCTGTTGCCTTGCTGAGCTTGTCTAGGCCTGCCACGTCTTTCGGCGCTTGTAACGACCATGCCGGACCCAATAATGCCCATCATAAACCCAGTCTCGTCGAAGTTGTAAGTATCCGCGTCTTGGATACCATGTTTCGCGACTGCTGCTGCAACTTGGCAAAACCACGCGCGATACGCGTCTAGATCCTCGTTCAAGACCCTCTGGTAGTCTATTTTCCGATGAAAACGCGTCCGGAGGCCTGGTGTACGTTTGATGAAGTTCCGCGTCCAGTTCTTTCCAACGCGTCCAGCCCCGCGCGCCGCCAACAATTGATTCGCCATATCTTCAACATAACTGTACCGGGGCGGAAATGCTCGCGCATCCAGGTCGAGAATGAAGGAACAAATGGCATTCTCTTCGGAAACCATAAGTTTCAAAGTATTGGGCATGCTGTCGCGTCGTGATGGCATTCCTTTGACTCTATTGCTCAAAGTGGAACGAGGGACGTTAAAGAGTTTCGCAAGTTGAAATATAGGAATATGAGGGTCACGTCATTTAGCTTGAACAGCTAGCTGCAAGTCTGATTCGTTATAACGCAGTGCCATTATTGTTGGTGGAGATATGATGGTTTGAATCGTATTGGTTGGAAAGTTCATGACGAGTGCCAACTCGCTTGTAATGTCAACTCGCTTGTCAGCTACGTTAGTGAAACTTATTATTATTATTATTAATCTTAAGCTTTTAAATAATTATGTTATATTTAAATAGTTAATCTTTATCTTTATAAATCTCATAATATATTTAATAATTACATAAAAATTATCAATTATAATAATAATCCGAACAAACTTTTTCAAAGTAAAAAGAATTTTTATATATATTAATAATTTTAGGATTTTGTCAAATAGCTTTAAACCTTTAAATATTAAAAAAAAAATTCTATATTAATAACCTTATCGTTATTTTGAAACCCTTATTTATCTTCTGTACTATATTTAATAATAATAATAACGAGCCTTAATTTACAATTAATAATAATAAGTTAAAAATTTTTAAATCGATTTATAAACTAGCTTATTAACCTATTTTATTAAAATATACTTTTAAAGTATATTGTAATATTACATATATAAGCTAGGATAAATCTTAATGACGTATTATTTAAAAAACGCATTTAAAAAGCTTAAATTTATTACGGTTTAAAAGCCATTACTTTTAGAATGATATTATTTATAACGATTTAAACATCATATATGAATTAGTTTTCGTTTAAACTTAATAATAAAATAAACCTTAAATTCTACGAATTTGTCAGTTATTAACGAATAATAGGGTTTATTAAAACGCTTTAATAATTATAAAGTATATCCGTCAAGATTTACGCATTATTTTAAAATAAAACCTCTTTGATTTTTCTATGTTTTAAATTACCTCGTGATTAAAAGTTTTTAAAGTTACATTATATATATAAACATAAGTTAAACTCAATTATTAATCTAACTAAACGTTATAAAAATTAAATGATCTTTCATAAATTTATATAACGGTATAAGCTTAATTATTTCGAAACATAAACGTTTAAAATACTCATAGCTTTTTAAAAGCTTTGATTAATTATCGTAATTATTTTAAATTAAAACTCGATTGAATAGATGCCGTTTTTACGTTTTTAACAAAAAAACTTAATGAAAAGATGTATATAAAGACTTTTAATAGCTTTAAGAATTTTCCCCCATATATTTTAACAAAAATAATATTCATCAATAATGAAATAATATTTTAGCTTAAAACCCTTTCATACGGCTTTGAATATAGCTTCTAATAGTAATAAAAACGCTTTTAAAAGGTGCAATGAAAGATTAGCTTTAAGCCTTGAATCTTTAATAATACCGTTTATTATTTTATAAAAAGTGGCATTTTTGTAATTAATTAAGTTTAAAAAAAATTAGATCGTTTTAAGGTTCATTAGTTTAAGGGACATTTTTTGAAAATCTGTAGAATTAAAAAAATTAAGAGCTGTATGTGAGGATTGTGGTGGCAGTATGGTGGCAGTCAGGGAGGCTGCTAGCTGACAAGGGGTTAGGCAGGCACCTTGGCAGAATAAAGGGATGAAAGCACCAGGAAAGGTGGCTTTCATGGGTGATAGACAAGGGATCTTTGGCTGGAGGATCAATGGATGGGTACATCTTTGTATTTTGGTGTGTATTTAGTACTAGATTGGTCCCCCAGACCCATGGATAAAACGCAACGCACTAGACCGATCATCCCCCCCATGTTCTGACTCTGATGATCCGATACTGTATAATATTCTTTAAACGTTAAGCTCGTTAAAAAACGTAAGAATTGCTTTTTATAACTTTTTTAAAGTATACATATTTCACATATAATAAAAACTTTCAATTAAGCTTATATAAGGCGTTTAAACGTACTTATTTCAGTTTATATAGTTAAAAAATAAATAAAAATTTTAAAAGAAATGATATTTTAGTTTTTACTTCTAAGTATTATTGTTTGAATTGAATTTAAAAAAAGATTTACGTATATATTATATACGCCTTGATATTTTCTTTAAGAGTGTTTTATAGTATTATAACTATTCTAAAACCATATAATTTGTTACGATTAAAAAACTCTTATATTACCTTTAAAATATAAAGATTTAATTATTTGCTATAAATGTTTTAAATGCGTTTAAATAGCTGTTAATAAGCTTAAAAGGCTTATTTTTAAAGATAGAATAATGTTCGTTACGTTAATGGCGTTAAAAAATGCGTTAAATTAACTTTTTATTATTCATATATTTTTGCGGGAGGTATAATTTATAATATTTAATGTTTTAAGTTGTTACAGCTTAATTTGTAATCAAATTAAAGTATTACATTATTAACGAAGTTTTTAAAAAAGCTTAAATATAACAGTTAGTAAATGAGTTTTATTATACTTTTGGCGCCTTTTAATTACGTCTTAATAGTATTAAAGCTATTCATTTAGCTTATAATATCGAGTTTTATCGCCGAACAAAGTACATACGAGTGCGAGAATATTATTTTCGTTAAAAGATTTAAGCTGGTTATATCTTCATAAAGTATTTTAATATTAATAGAATGTTAATATATATTCTTTTTAAGGCTATATTAAAGGTAAAATTTAATATTCTTTTGAGCTTTTAAAGCTTATTAAAGTCGATTCAAATAGTGAAAAGTATTATAATATTTCAACTAGCGTATAATTATACGTTAAAAGGCCTTTTACAATAGCATCTAACTGCTATAAGTATTTTAACTAGTTCTTAGTCAATAGCAATACTTTTAGTTTAAAAGGGCGTGTTAAATATTATAATAATAATAAGATTATAATAAGCTTATATAAGGTTTTAAGTAGCCTTAAATCGTTTAGAACGTACTTATAACATTATAAATATTAGCTTTTAATTAGTTTAAATAACAGGTGTCTGTTATAGTTATCTGCTTACCTTGAGAGATTATATGGGATTATTTACTTATTTATAAGGGGGGCTTCACCCCCATCCCAGAGGAAATCTTCTTCTTCTTTTTAATACAGAATATTTGATAATTTCACAAGGATCGACGCTTCCCGCGCTCGCCATTGGCGCTGCGTCAGGAGCGTCGACTGAGAATGTGCTGTACGGATTGAATACGCCACAACACCTCCTTTGGCACATCCGGATGCCTGCTTGCAAACCGTCAGATCGAAGCCCCTCCGACGCTGCAATGGGTGCCTTGTTTCAATATCATCCCTCCACTAGACTGGACGTCCCACTCGACTACGCGGACATTCATGAAAATGACGAAGAAGATGAGGAGAGGTGTCACGGATACATTGCGTCTATTTAATTTATTGACCCTCCCATTGTCAGGTAGCTAGCCATAGACCTGTCATCTGAGAGAAGCAATGCCCACTATCTTGGAGACCGTCGCACCATAACTTGGACACTCCAATGTTTGTTCGTATTCGAGGCTCTGAATCAGTCGAGCGCTCAGTATGGCCAAGCTTCCTTCTCGTCGACATGGAAGCCGACTGGTAGAAGAGGCAGAGCTTCAACAGATCCGACGTAGATTGAATCGAATCAGGCGTAATTTGATCCAGGACACTCGATTCCGCTGTCTCGTGCCAGTACCATCATCACCCCAGTCCGCACCTGTGCTGCATCTCTCACATCTCCCCGCACTGAGCAATGACCACATCCATGTCAGGCACGTCTCTACCGCGCCTGCCAGTCTTAGTCTTCTCAATCTTGTCCACGACATCCTGGCCGTCGACAACCTTGCCGAACACGACGTGCTTTCCATCAAGATGCGGTGTGGGTACGGTAGTGACGAAGAATTGCGAGCCATTGGTGTTGGGCCCCGAGTTCTGCGGAGTCTTCATCAGCAAAACCAGAACTCAGTCGCAGCGGAGCGGGACGAAACCTACCGCCATGGACAAGAGACCCTTCTCCGTGTGCTTCAGCGCAAAGTTCTCGTCCGCGAACGCCTTAGTTCCATAGATGCACTAGATATGTTATTAGCATATACCCTCTTCGGGCTAGTCTTGACGTGCTGCCTTACGATGCTTCCGCTGCCGTCGCCATTGAGGAAATCACCACCCTGGAGCATGAATTGGTTTATCTGCACTTCGTCAGTGCTCTGCTCCGTCGCGCATAATCATGGGCAATGCACGTACGACTCGGTGGAACTTGCTCCCCTTATAGCCCTGGGGCTGGCCTCGGCTGTTCTTGGACTCGCCAATGCAGAACTGTCGGAAGTTCTCGGCGGTCCGGGGCACGACATCCTTGAACAGCTCAAAGGTGATTCGGCCGAGGGGTTCGCCTGCCAATCCGCGTCAGTAACCACATCAAGCGCTGGGGGATTGCGACAAGTGATATCTGAGCAGGGTTCGCGTCGCGAGACTTTTAGGGGGTTGCGACGTGCTGCGGTAAAGGTAGTCACGTGATGGACTTCGGAGACCGGTCTCCGGAGTGGAATGGTTTCGGCGGCCGGATGGTGAAAATCGGCAGAGTCTGGAGCTTACCTCCGAGAGTGATGTCGAAGAAGACCCTAGTGTTTCAAGCATGGTTAGCTTTTCAATGCAGACCGACGTCGGTTACCCATCGCTTCACGCTTCGAATATTTAGATAGTTTAGCGATGCTGCCGTCGCGGCGTGGTCGCATGTTGTGCTGCGGCATCTCACGCTTTCGGGGCAAGATAAATGATTGACAACGCACAGAGGGTTTCCGGAAGCGGGAAGCTGCGTCGCAGGCATTGTTGCAACGTGAGTCGAGATCGTGGATGTCTGTTGCCTGGATATACGCAGTGTGATTAAGGTATTGGCGGTGCCAGAACATAAGGTGGATTCGAGTTTGACTGGCAGACGGAGGAAGGAGCGAAGCCAGCTGGCGACAGCTGCTGGCCGTCCGGCGCTCCCAGCTTACTTGAGGTTAGCACAGTGCCCCTTAACCTGATGCCAAGTCCCTAGGTAAACGTGTACCTACCTCACCACATCACTCCAACATCGCGAGTAGTCTCCTTCCTGCCCACCCGTTCCTGGCAATGTGTAAAGTCAAGTACCCAGACGTCATGACGTTTTGACCGAAAACCCTATTGCCTCAGTGTTCGCTCATGTTCTAAGGTTCCCGCATGGCTGATGGGTGAGGTACACTTCGCAAAGATTATCAATCGCAACATGCTTCACGGGAAATGTATAACCCCCGCATCATGACAGGTCTGTATAGATAGATATGCCGGGTGTTAGTAAGCTTTGCTCGATCAGCCATGACAAATGCAATCAGTCCCAATAGCCAGAAGCTCAGTTCATGTCTGCGTACATTTCTACATGTAGGTGAAGGCGCGCAAGCACCAGCCAACACAGCTACAATCTCATCCAGCCCATCCACCAACCATGACAACACCTCCACCCCGCCACCACCGCGTCCTCATCGCCGGCCTCAAATTCGACGCCCCCGGCAGTACCGCGCAGCACTTCGGCCCACCCGCCGCGATCGCCAAGGCCGTCCAGGACGACCTAGCCGTCGCCGAGCGCGCAGGCTTCTCGCACACCGATCTACTGTTCGACCCGGACCGCAACCTCGAAGAGCAGGTCGGGCAGTTCGAGGCGTACCTGCGGTCCGGGAAGTTCGACGCCGTCATGATCGGCGTCGGCGTGCGGCTCGTGCCGGAGCACACGCTCCTGTTCGAGCGGCTGGTCAACTTGTGCAGAGTCATCGTCCCGGATATCCCCTGGGTGTTCAATACACGGCCTGGAACGACTACTGAGGCCTTGTACCGGGTTTTCGGGAAGCCGGGTGGGTGATGGGGTACTGGCGGAACTGGAAGGCGTAGATTTGGAGAGCCTGAGAACCAGTTTACCACTGAACTGAATAATAACTCATGGATGCGCTATATCCCACATGCCTAAAATCGCCAACGCATATATAAATATGTATATGTGCCGTCAGTAAGTACATGCAGAAATACAGTGAGCGAGCCATGTCTACTCTACCCATCGATGGGACATCTATATCCCCTCTCGCGGCCAAACTCATCCACCATCCGATGGTCCCCGTCATCCCCGCCCCGCTGCGCCTCCTGCAGCGCATCCAGACAGCTCTGGTGGTATATGTGTCTACAAGCCAGCACGACGAGCGGCCCAAGTGGCTGTTGATGGCCTTTCTGACGTGCCCCGACAACATCCCCATTCGTGCCAGGTTTACTTCCTGTAGTGCTCTGCTCTTCGCCCGTGACAGCGTCATCCTTCGGAACATTTGGTCGAGACTCGGTTTCCGTCTCGGTGCCTTTCCCTTTCCCCTTCCCTGAGTACGCTTTGGGTCCTTGCGAAGGTTCAGCTTTCCCCTTGCCACGAGGAGAGGGGAGTCCGGCAACAGCAGCCTTTCGCTCTGCTCGCTTTTGATCCTCGTTTGACTGTCTCTCCTCCCAGGCTTCGAAGACATTACCCGCAACGCCCGGCCCCCACACCCGACGTCCGCAAGCTTCGCATGTGGACCCCTTAGGCCGCCAACCGCGTTGCCGAAGTTCTACTGCTTGCTGGACGTTGACGAAAAGCTGTTGTTCGAGTAGTCGGTTCGAGAGATGCAGTATCGATTCCTCGTAGGCATAAGCAGAGAATATGGATGTCAGAACTGCGCGCAGATCGGCCAGATTGGGCGAGGTGGCGGCAGCCCGTGTCAGGAAATCGCGAAGGATGCGCAGGAACGTGAGGCTGCCACCTGAGCCTGTCGTCAGGCGAGCGTTGGGCTGAGCAGGCTCTTGGGTGGAGGTTGCCGTTAAGAGTGCTGTGAACGTATGTTGAACAAGAGATCGGAGAAGGGCCACAAGCTTATCAGTATCTAGCAGTCCCACAGGGGCTGAGTCGTTCGATGCCAGTTCAGGCGTTGAAGAAACGACAAGTGATGATAACCTGCGGTTTATATGGACTGTTGTGTCGATCAACTCGAGCCACAGAAGCTCATCGGCGGCGAGATCACTCGGAGCTGGCGAGCTTTGTCTTCGTTGAAGAGGGGTCGACTTCTTGGAGGCTTTCATTTGATTCTGGCATAGCCATATCCCTACGTGGGTGTACTTTTGTAGCCCGGTGAGAAGATCTTCGGCTGATCTTTGTACATCCACCTCACCCTCTTTGTACTCACTACCGGAAAGCAGGCCCAGCAAGGCCGACTCCAATGTGTTTAGATGTTTCGTCAGCCGGCTCATGGCATCCTGTACTTGCCCCTCTCGAGCCATGAGGATGACAGCAGCGTCGATGACACCAGTGTCTTCCATAGTGGGCAGCAACCTCTCAAGTCTTAACTTCGTAGCCTGGACGATGCCGACGTAGTCAGAAACATGAGCGGCGTCGTATTGGCACATGAGCTGCACATAAAGCTCGATGAAATCTCGGTCCAGAGCACTAGTCCGCTGCTCCACGCCTTCATCGGGTTCTAGTAAGGCCTTGAGATAGGTGAATTGCAACTCTGAGCCGCCATCGAGTGATTCCATCACAAACCGATGCAGTTGCGGAGCATAGGCATCCAGAGTCTGGGCAGCCCGAACAGGATCCAACTCAACCAGCTCGTTGGAGTGTTCCTTGATGGCATCGTGAACTTCTTGTATCTGTCTCTTCATGAGTCTCGCTTGCGGCCGCAGGCAGTCTGCAAGACAGTCGAATACTTCCTCCTGGTCTTCCGGGTCTTCAAAGTAGGTGTGTACCAGTTTACCATACTCCCTGTCGTTCTTGTACGTGCGTTTCAAGATCCGGTAGAACCCAGCCTTCTTGAAAAGGGGTATCATAGGTGACAAGTCGGGCGGGTGGTATATCGAAAGTAGGTATTCTGCACTCAGCTGAGCATCATCGGCCAGATCAGCACCGGGGTATTCGCATAGCCCAGCCACTATCTTATTGAGGGTGGAGCCCGGGATCAAGAGGTACTGTGGAAATTTTGGAAGATTCCGGGCAATGAACATATCCAGGTAGATTGTATCTTCAGGTGCGAAGTCGGCCGGGTTCATGATCTCTAACAAAATCGTGACCACGTATTGGCGGTCGACGGTTAAGCCAAAGGCTTGTTCTTCGGGGAGATCCTTGACTGCTCCGCCATTGAGCTGCTTTTCTTGCGAGTCATTCAGAAATGAATCCTCAAACGCCTCGTTGAGAGCGCTCAAGAAGCTCGGCGCGTCGAACTTGAGTATCATCCGGAGATATGGAAATGAAGGCTCTTTGGCTCCAGCTGCGCGAGTGAGGAATGGCTTGCTGCTGCCTTTCGGCCAGGCAATGCTTTTTCCAGAGAACAGGAACCAGTACAACTCAGCCTTGGCTTTTGAAGCCAGATCATATTCTATCCTCTCTCCGGTTGGGTAGACTCTCCCAGTTAATGTGTAAGAGAGGTAAGGGAACATATTCAGGGCGTTGACTCCGAACATCTCGTCCCCCATGATGTCTCCTGATGATGCATAGTCGCCGTTTTGCATCAATGGTTTCAATAATGTCAGGAGGTCGATGAGTGGCGTGATGTAGTCAGTCAATGCCTGATTCCACACGTAGATCAGGGCATCGTAGAGGCCGTGTTGTTTGCAGAGCAGCGTTATCTGGTCGATATCCAGAGTCGCCGTCTCCATGTGGCAGATGATCTCCTCGAGACGGCTTTCCCAGCCCTTGCTTACAAAATGGGTAACCATGGCCTTGACGACTGTAGGTGGTACGATTGTTATCGTTTTCTCCAGGATATAGGGCTCCAGAACCTCGAGGAAGATTCCCTCCACGTCGCCATCCTCATACCACTCGTACAATTCGTCGAAAAGGAAATCCATATCGGCAAGATTCTGGCAGGCAATGAAACACGTCTCCGCTAGTTCTTGCAAGTGTTGATCATCGGCCGATGACTTGTTCTTTTGACGTTGACCAAACGCATATTTGAGGGACGCGCTCATTATCTCGATCAACTTTTCCCGTACCATCTGATGCCGAAGGGCAGTATCTTCAGGGAGACCAACGGTGAGCTTGTTGGCATCACCTGCGTAGTAGGATGTCGCCAGCTGAATTGCACCCACGTAGTCTCCGTTCTCCATCAATGCAATCAGTCGATCGGCCCAGTTTGACAAGGCGCCGATGGAAACGTCGTTAAAACCAAGCAAGAACATCCGACCTTTGTAAGTCTTGAGACTCATGTAGAAAGCATCGGCAACAACACCATGCATAGAGGTATCATCTTCGTCGAGTTGCTCTACCAGACTATGCAATTGGGTCGAGAAAAGATCGCTGTGATATATGTGTTTATGGACAAGATCGAAGGCTTCTGTCATCCTCATGGATCGGTCTTCCAGGACGATGAGCCTCTGGGTGATAGTCAAGACGGTAAGAACGGAGCGACTCAGCCACTGCACCGCGACAATGGCCTCTTCGCACTTCCACCGGCTGCGAGCTTTGAATTTGAGAGTCGGTGGTTTGTCCTTGCTATCATTAGGTATCTCATCCACATCTAAGACGGTCAAGACATTGGACCAACAGTAGACCAGTTTAACCTTAGACATGGTGCTGCCTGTGCTCGGATCCGGCACTTTCAACTTGACCGCAGGAAACCAAGCCAGACAGCCGCTCATAGCGCTATGTAGCTCAACGTCCTTTGGGCGAGCCGACTTGTGCTGCGTTTGAGCAACAGGCGTGGTCGAAACGATGACGAGCAGGTACGGCGTAAGCATGGCTGTAAGACCCATAGAGTCTGTCGCGCGTTCCACGTTCCCGAGTGGCAAAGGCGAAAAACCCAGCACTGTGCTGGGTTTTAAGGGCTTGCCTGAAGGCGCCGGGGTGTCAGGATAACGACCCAGGATCCTCACTGTCTTGACTGTTCTTCCAAATGCACCAGTACCTCGGGTCGCGAGATGAGAAAAAGCCATCCCACGGTCATCGGCCGAAACCAAGGCGGTACGCCTTGTACCCAGGAATCCGAGGTGTGTTATAGCCACATTGGGTAAATGCCCATCCGTGGTCCGATTCTGCATCTGAGATGGGTCTAGATGAGGAATTTGCAGAAAAGGCCGAGCAGCCCAACTGGTGTCCCAAGTGAATATGTTTCCATTTGCGTGGCCACCTGCCACCGTCGTGTGGTCGGCTGATATGGCAATGGAAGTGACAGGACCAGACTCGACAGCTGCAAAGTGTTAGATGTGTAACACATGGGAGTCATGGTTGTAACTCACCTCTCGTGCCCGGACCGATGATAGTTTTCAGATTTTGGTTGTAATCAAACATTAGGATTATGCCCTTGGAGGTACCCAGTACAATCGAGGCAGAAACAGCTATACACGTAGGAGAGCCAAAGTTGCGCTTTCCGGGTTCTGAGAAGGCTTGTCCATTGAGCTTCTTCAACCTTGTCCATCGTACAACTTCCCACGGTGGAGAAGGGATTTCGGTCTCGCCAGCGTCCAGCATGAACTGACTGCCCATAGAGACATTCCTGCTATGGCTGCTCAGGAAGGCAGGGGACGATGGTCGTGGCGATAGGATAGAGGGTGTGGATATGCGGGACTGGAATCGCCGGTCGAAAGGTCTGAAGGAGGGAGTCGGGCTGCCTAAACCAGGTCGTGAGGCCATCGAGGGGAGGATGCTGCTTCCAGGGGAGGAGAGGAGAGAGCCCTGCGAAAATGGTTAAGACGATGAGCCGATCAAAGGAACACGCTTCTCCTCACCTGGACAGAGGGAGAGTCATCAGGCGCCGAGAGTAACGATTCGATTGGGCTTCCAACCCTCCGGGGCAGTCCCTCGGCTGATCCATTCTCAGACACATCATCACCATCTCGCAGCAGTTGACGGTAGCGGTTCGCGACGGCGCCAGGCTCGGGCGCGGCGGTAAAGGCATCTTCTTGCCGTTCCTCCTCCAGAATCTCATATATCTGCTCCAGTTCGCGATCCCCTTTTACAGTCTCCTCGTCACTCGACGCTCCGTCTCGATCCGGAGACAAGTCTAGGTGATCGTCGTTCATATCCACTGGCGCCCCCTCGTCTCTCTCCGGTGAGGGTGGGCTCATCGAGGCGGCTGCATTGGGCACATAGCTTCAGACTACCTCTTAAAAGTTGTCTTTGTGCTCGTATGCTTGTGTCGCACACGATAGCACACGGTGGTACAACACAGCAAGCTCAAAACCCGCGTTGTTCTGGGAACCGTGTGATAAGCTGGACAGTCGGCTCTGTAGCTTGTCGGTGGTAGGGGATTGCGACGAGGCTTTGCGGGGGCGTGTCTTCGCGTGGTAGGTTGTAAGATCCAAAGTTGGCCGCCGAATTGGCAGACTGTTGGTCAGGTCGTGTAGGTTATCGCAGGCTGCTGTTCCTTCCAAAAGTCGTCTGCCTCGTGGGATTGACTCGGTGGTCGCACCTGCGCTTCTTGCGGGAGCTTCAGCCTGGCACACAGCTATCGACATACGACCAATCAGAGGCCTGGAAGCTTGGGCTGGCTGACGCTGCAGGCTGCCAGCCCACCTGCAGCCCACAGTACAGCGCAGATCATCAATTTACTGAACCATGCCTGCCTGCTATTGATACCTAGATTCACACGACCAAATTCAACCACGCGCTCGCAATTCAATACTCACCGGACTCAGGTCATCGCCAAACTCAAGAAATACCAAACCCCCCAGAAGCGCCGGATCGCATTCACGAGCAACCATGTCCTCCATAGGACCCCAGCTACCACCCCACCTCGCAAAGCGCAAGCGCACACCCGACGACGACACGCCCGCAGACTCCCCTCCGACAAAAGTCCACGCCACCGAGAGGAGCGCGCGCGCAAACCAAGACGAGCTCGATCTCGGAAGCGACAGCGACAGCGATGACAACTACGGCCCCTCGGCGCCGAACCCTACCTCCCGGCCTACGGTAGCAGGCCCGGCAGCACCTCCTCCATCCGGGTCGATAGAACCTTTGCTCGCCCATTCACAGACAGACGAGATCGCCATCGACAGCGATGACGGCGGCGACGACGACATCGGGCCCTCAGCGCCGCCCCCTCCCAGGATTAGACCCCCGATAGGCCCAGCCGGACCACCACCACCACCACCAACACCTCCAGGACCAAATCGCATCCACGGCCCAGCGCCACCACCCGCACCCCTAAACGAACGTCCCTCCCAGCCCGCCAACACCACCACCAAGACCGCCGCCTCAGACTCAGACTCGTCAGAAGACGACGACTACGGTCCCGCCCTCCCAACCTCGACCTCACACCACGCCCGCCAAACCGCCTTACACCTTGCACAAGCCCAAGAAGCCGCCGCCTCCGGCGCCCCAAAACGCGACGACTGGATGCTAGCGCCCCCGACATCCGGCGGCGGCTACCGCGAGGTTGACCCGACGAAAATCAAGAGCCGAGTCTTCAAGTCCGGGCCGCGGGTTAGTGGCAGCGCGGGCGCGGCCGACGGCGAGATCAGTAGCATCTGGACCGAGACGCCGGAGCAGAAGCGCAAGAGGCTGGAGGCGGCCGTGCTGGGGCGGGACAGTTCGACTACCACGGGCACCTCGACCAGAACGACGTCGTCGTCACAGGGTGTTAGCGGCAAACCAAAATCAAAAGAGGAGGCCGAGCAGCAGGCGCGCATAAGGGACTTCACCGAGGCGACGCGGGGCCGGAGTCTGTACGAGGAGCACCAAGCGGCCAAGAAGGACAGCAAGGTAGAGAAAAGGAAGGGTGGGAAAGAGAAGGACAGTGGGGAGGAGGAAGAAGAAGACGACCCCAGCAAGCGCGCCTTCGACAGGGAGAAGGACATGAAGCTCGGCGGACGCATCGGCACCGCGCAGAGGCGGGAGCTGCTGAACAAGTCGGTCGATTTCGGGGGCCGCTTTGCGAAGGGCAAGTTCCTGTGATACCGGTCTAGCTAGGCATACAGAAGGAAGTCTTAAGAGATTGAATAATGAAGGAGATACTACACCTCTGTGAACATGTACTTACGATACCAGCAGTAAGTAAGCCGGCCATGGTAACTTCTTTAATAGGGAGATCACTAGATGAGCATCACTTCCATTTCACATACACGAAGACATGAATATCCGGCCAGACCCAAACCAAAAAGGCTGCGACGTGTATATAGCAACCGAGTATGCACGAACGGAATTGTTATTCCCTATTCCCATGGAAATATTCATTCTGCTCGCTACCATATCTCACAGGGGAAGAGAGAGCCATGCCATGACCTGAAAGCCAACCAATCCACCATACTCCCATCTGCCGCGCCGTGTCCTCCCGCTATGAACGGAGGCCTCGTCGCGGTCCGATGATCTCCAAAATAGCCAGTCCATCAACACCGCCTCTGCCGTGCGTACAGATCCAATGCCTACAGATTCCCTGCGCCCTTCGAATCAAGGGCGAACAAAAAGCTAGATTAAACGAGGAATTAGTATCGATTTTGCGATGGCGCTCTTCGAACTACTCCTCTCCTCGCCGCTCGTGTGGTAGGTAGTCTGTTGAAAACGGGTATCCGGAAATTCCTCCTCATCCAGTGATGTGCTCAGCAACTGCATATGTACTTGGTGATAGCGAAGAAAGAGTGTTTGTGATCGTGGTAGTAAAGGGTCGTTGACAGCTCAGACAGACGACATACTTCGGGTAGAGGTGAGGGTTTTAGTGTGTGGTTCACTAGTTCTGTGCCGTAGATGTACATATATGTCCCAAGAAGTCGAGGATGATAGGCATATCAAATGTTTCGCTTGTTGGAGGATTGTCCAGTTGTAAATCAGGTATTGAAGCTCGACTAACTAGTCGCAGTAGCCGAGGGTCGTACTCCTGATTCTAATTGCGATGGTGTTGCCACAGTGGAAGCAGCGTTTCCGCCATTGACATCAGCAGCATTTTCAGTCGTCTGGGCGGGTTGTCCTTCCCGATCCCTTCGCATCATTTGATTTAACCTGAACGGTGGGAACCGTCCACGGAATCTCTGAACCCAATTGCCATTCTCATCCTGGGCGGCCGCGGTAGGCTGGGGTTGGGTCTGTCCTGCAGTATTATGGCGTCGAGGCCGTTCCGGACGTTGCCTCCCCCATAAACGCGGCTGTTGCCCCTGGCTTCCTGCTTCCGACGGTGCCGCCGCACTGCCTCTGTTACGTCCCGGGAACATCATGCGAGGTGCTTCGCGCAATTGACTCCACGACGTAAAGGTTCGCTGGGGTGCTCTAGGCATATTCAAGCGGCCTTGGTTCCTCGAAGGGTCACCAGACGTGGGAGAGTTGGGGCTGTTCGCATCGCCACCGGTCGGAGGTGGCCGAGGCTTTGGCGTGTAGTAATCCGCCTTGCACAGGGGGCAGCATGCTCTACGGTTGGTGAGCCAAGGATCGAGACAGACGGCATGGAATGCGTGGCCACATGTTAGGCCGCGAACATCGTCGTCATTTTCGAGTTGGTCAATACAAATAGCACATGTGTCACCCGCAGTGCCCATCAACTCCGGAGGGATGGCGGCGTTGATGTGTTCGTCCTCTTCTTCTTCTTCTTCTTCTTCTTCTTCTTCTTCTTCTTCTTCTTCATCGGCACTCGGTCGTCTTTCGTCGTCTTTCGTTATCACGCTCGCGACTGTCTGAGCAGTCTGGGCCTGGGTGAGCGTTGTGGTATCATTAGCGGTGTCATTGGCAGCATTGCCACCAGATGCGACGTCTGTATTCTCGGTGGTCGGTCCGGGCTGGTCCTTATCAACGGGTTTCGGTGTAGAGCTGGTGGCGGGACGACCTTCAACAGAGTCTCGTTCCTTGAAAGGTAATTCCGGTACGATGCCTTCAACACTCCGTACGCTGTTAGCTCTACTTGGTGGTGCTGAGACACCGCCTGCCGTGGGCAACCCCTCCCTCGCTCTGCCAGAAACCCAAGTCTTGTACTTCATCATCGGAAATTTCTCGTTGACTTCGTCCATGCTCATGAGTTTCTTCTCGCGCCGCCGTCGATGCGGGCGGGTCGGCATGTTTTCGAGGTTGATGGGCTCCCCGTTCTCATCCAGCCCTCTCATTTGGCGATTGCGGGCATTGTATCGGAAACAGTACTTGACACCGACGATGATCCTGCTCGGATATTAGGGTTTCGTAGATGCGAAGTTTGTACAACAACATACCATAGGTTCGTAAATACGACACCAAATCCCAGCGCTACGAAAAATAGAAGTGGCGAACTAGTCCCTGAATTGCCGCCACCGCCGTCGTTGTTATTGTTGTTGTCGGTTTGCGATGGCATCGGCGTATTCGAGGTTGTCGATGTTTGCGGAGGGAGAGGAGTCCCAGTCCCGGAGGGGCTCGAGGACGGGGTCGACGTCGCACTGGAGATGGCAGAGGATACGGCAGACGTAGTGGCCTGTCGGACCTGGTATTGCACTGCTCTGGCGACGGCTTGGGCGCCGTCGACGAAAGCCTGATTGATGGCCATTGTTGGTGTTACCTAGCAGGTGGCAAGAAAGCGACCGATCAAAAGGCGAGTTCGCTCAGTTCGCCGGTCATGGGCGAAAACAGATGTGCGGTTGGTGGATCAAGATATGCCTAGCAGCCCGTGCGTGTCCGGAACAATGATGCCATTTACTGAGATGTTGTCGATGGCAATGCGTTGCCTCTTGGAGGAAAAGAAGAGGAAGATAGCGATCAATCAAACTGCACGGTAAAGGGACGCAGTACTACCTCCTACTAGTCCGTCGCCGTCGGAGATGGATAGGTGATAGGAGACGTAATGGTGACTGGCAACCTTGAAGGGAAGCGGGAAGTGTGCGGACACAGTCGCAGTTGTAACTTGTGTGAGGGACGGGCAGACGGGAGGACTGCGCAGGTGGAGACTCAGGTCCGAAAAGAGACGTCCCGAGATGGAAGGAGTTCGGGAATGAATGAGTCTTGGAATCCAACAATCAATTGAGGATGGGATGGAAGGCCGAAGGGGCAACGACAGCTGCTGGCAGTGCTGGGGGATGGCGAGGAGATATGGGTCGTCGGGGTTGGTGCAGGTCCAGTGCTGGCTGGCCAGTGCTGTTGACGGATCTGCCGGCGCTCGCTGGGCGGCGGGGTTGGTCAACTGGTGTTGCTGGTGCTGCAAGAAAGACACCTGCAGCCACCTGGGCAGTCTGCAGTGAGTGGCTTCAACCTTTAAAGCAGGCGGCAGGCTGGGCTGGCTGGACGGGAAACGATAGAGACTCAAATACAGGTGAGGAGATGGTCATGCATCAGTGCCAATGGTGCCTCCTATCAGCCTTGTCTTATGTGTGTTATTATTGTTATTCGCCAACTCACCTGCTGTGTTGCGCGATGAGGCTTTTAAACAATGAACGATTGGGACGAGCCCCTACAGGCCAAGACAAGGCTTGTCCTGCCAGTAGCCGCGGGCTGGATGGCATTCCTGGATTTCCCATCGTGCATAAGGGGCTGGATCATCACTGCGCAGACAGCTGTCTATCGTTCTACCAGGACCTAGACTACCAGAACTACCTAGTTCACACATGAGGTCATCATCATTGAATGCCTTCTCAGTCACTGTACAGATGCAGGTGGTCTGTGTCTTCACAGCATCTGCTACAATAGTTCCTCTTCCAGTCGATCTAGAAACGCCGTCGAAGCCGAATAGTTGAAATGCTAGCCTGCCTTATCTCACCCCAAAAGCAGTCTCAAACACGACGTCTGTGTTTTAGTAGGTTTCTTTGGCGCAACGGAGAGCCCGAGGACCTCCTACGGTCCTGGCATTTAATAATCATTACACGTTTCTTCTTGCTGGCCTGGGATGGGACAGTCCGTGTCTTTCCGAATCTTTGAATATTCCCTCTAGATGTAATCGACCAGCAGGAAGTTACACCTCGGCGGTAATGAAAATAAGCTCCGCGATAGCCAAGACAATATCGCCGTTTAAATTCCTAACTTCCGCAGTAAGAAAAACCATATGCTTAATTTAAATTAGATATATGCTAACTAAAGTATCTCTGGAAAACAGCGCCAAGAAATTTATTTTTAACTAAAATATCTTATAGTAATAAAGTTTTTAATAAATTAAATACTAAGTGTAAGCATTATATATATTTAATGTATAAAAAAGTTACTAATAAACTGTTATAATATATAGAATATAATAAATATATGCTAAGTACTTACATAATCTTACGTAATTTAAATTGCTTTACACCTTAAAGTATATAATATAAAACTAATATATATTTATGAAAGTTAAAATGCAAATTAACTTATCATGAAACTATGTTTTATTTAATAATATTACCTTACATATAGATAAAATACATATTAATTTTATAGCGTATATGCGATTTTTAAAAATCTCGACTTTTATTTGTACCGGTTTTAATGATATCGTAATAATTAACAATATTAACCTACTTAGTTATAAGTATTATTATGATATGAACATATATATATTAAAGAAATATTAAATATATACTAATTATTTTACAACTAATTGTTAATCTTAACCATAGATAAATCCCTCTTTATAAGGACTTTATTCGAAATATATTTTGAATATAATCTAATAATATAACTTATATTAAATTCCTACTTAATAACTTGAATCATGTTTATAAATCATTGTTTAACTTTATATTTAATATATATTAACTAAATATAACGCTTTTTAATATATATAACAAACCTGTATGTTTGAATGATTAAACACATACAATATATATATTAATCATAATTGAATCTTATGCTAAAACCTTGCTTTGTATTTTTTTAACATAACTTAATATGTACTAACGTGGATGACAAGCGAGTGTCAATTACAAGCGAACGGCAACTTTTCACTAACCTTCTAACCAACATGTCAAATTAACTCGACCACAGCGCATTTAATTCAATCTAATTAATTGGATTCTTTTTCTTCAGACGTTTCTATCTCTATTGTACAAGTTTGCGCATTACGGCCAGTATTGCCGCAAACGCTACAACGTTGCTCACGCGCTGCCGCTCTTCTTGGACGACGACTACCTTCACTCATTTCTTGTCTTGCCAGCTTACTACCATTCTTTATAGCCTGGAGACCTACTGCATTTTCAACAGAAAGTACTTCACCTTTCACTAGATGTTTTTTTTTTGTCCTCCGGCGTTTACTTAGTAGGTGATTGGCTTCCTCTAGCTCGCAAACCCAGGAATCAACCAAAGCGACCTTATGTATAAGACCGTATGTAGCCTTTAAAAACGAGCTTAATACATCAATTATTGATGTAAGTGAGCTTCTCTGGAGATTTCTGACTCGATTTTGGATATAAACCGACTGGTTTACCGCTTCGTTGATGGTGGTAGGCGTCTTTGAAGTCTAAATAATAGGTGGCAGATTAGGGTCTGGCGATAGTGTTTGTATGACAGCGACAATATCCAGCTTTGAAATAACACTTTCTGGGTCAAAAGGAACAAGCCCAGTGGCACTGAAACCTGCTCAAATGTTTCCTGGCGTCATAGCAGCATTGCGTGCTTCACAAAACTCTGCAAGGAAGTCCTCTTTCGAAATGTGGGTTATATGACGCTGGATGAGATCCTCAATGATGCGACTGTAAGCTCGTTTGAGCGGGCTAAAACAACTGACATCTAAAGGCTGGAGCCTGTGTGACGAGTGGGCAGGCATACAAGCAGTAATAATATTGTTGTTCTGGCAAATAATCCTCAAAGATCTGGGAATGGTGGCTTTTGTGGCCATCTAGGATGAGGAGGCGTTTACTGGCAGTCATACGCGGTCTGGTATACTTGTCGAAATGCCGAATCCATTCCAACCCAATCTCGTTTGTAGCCCAACTGTTATTAGACACGGCCACCTTCTAATCGCGTGGTAATGTTGTGCCGCAATACCATAACGCGAGGTAGGTTTTGCCCTATAGAATGATGAACGGCGGGACCACCCAACCATCAACATTGACAGCAGAAATTGCTGTAGACCATTCCCTGTTGCTTTGCTGAGCTTGTCTAGGCCTATCACATCTTTTGGCGCTTGTAATGACCATTCCAGACCCAATAGTGCCCATCATAAACCCAGTCTTGTCAAAATTGTAAATATCCGCGTCTTGGATACTATATTTTACAATTGCTGCCGCAACTTGGCAAAACCATGCGCAATACGCGTCTGGATCTTCGTTTAGGACCCTCTAATAGTCCATCCTCCGATGAAAACGCGTCCAGAGGCCTGGTGTGCATTTAATGAAGTTTTACGTCCAGTTCTTTCCAACGCGTCCATCCCCACATGTTACCAACAATTGATTTGCCATATCTTCAATATAACTGTGCCGGGGTGGAAATGCTCGCGCATCCAGGTCAAGAATGAAGGAAAGAATGGCATTTTCTTTGGAAATCGTAATTTTCAAAGTATTGGGCATGCTATCGCGTTGTGATGGTCGGCCGGCAATTCTAGCCTTTAAGGTATTATATAGGACATGGAAAGTCTTAGAAAGCTTGCCAATGATGATATGAGGGTCGCGTCGCTTAGCTTGGACAGCAAGCTGTAAGTCTCATTCGCTATGACGCAATGCCATTACTGTTGGTTGATCAATTTGGAACCTTGATTGAAAGATTACATGGCTGGTGCAAAGTTGCCGTTCGCTTGTAATTGCCGCTTGCTTGTCATCCACGTTATAGCTTTTATATGTTATATGTATATAAACTGTTAACAACTACAAAATAAAATGAAAACTTTACGGCTTTATATTTAAAAATGAAATATTTAATAACATCTTGGCAAATTCTGCATATACTTAATACATATATATAATTTAGTAAATTAATTACACTAAGACATTAAACATTATTATCATAAAATTAATCAGTTCTTATTATTATTAAATATTATATATATATTGATTATATGACCTTTAAAACTACCCGCTTTGATAATACGCTAAATAAAGCCTTAATCGTTAAGAAAATAAAAGTTTATATGTATTTAATATGTATTCGACTCATACTGTCTAATAAACTTCAATGCTATGTTTTATTTCGATATTAATAAAAAGTTAAATCTTATTGAAAGTTTAAATAAATTCATTACATTATGTACGTCACAAGCGAGCGGGACATACAAGCAAGTAGGATACTTTCATGAACCTCTCACACTTTTAACTTCTAATCAGTATTCCTCCACCCCCGACAATGGCACCGCGTTATAATCAATCAGATTACAGCTAGCTGTCCAAACTAAAAAACGAGACCCTTATATTTCTGTTCAAAAACTTGCTAAAACTTTCCACCTATTAATCTCTATACTGGCTCAAAGAATCGCCGGTCGACAACCACGACACGATAGCATGTCTAATTCTGCGAAACTTATGGTTTCTAAAGAGAATGCCATTTGCTCCTTCATATTTAACCTAAATGCGCGAGTATTTCTGCCCCGGTACACTTATATTAAAAATATAACAAATTGTGAGATTCTAGAAGGGTCACAAGCCTTGGGGGTGTGAG